TCTGCTTTGCTCTGACAACACAAAAAAACAACAAAGTGCAGGGTTGCCTAACGAGCTCAGCTTCTTCACGGCTCTCGTTTACAGCGGAACGTATCTCACATTCACACCGATAAACCCAAGCCAGGTCTGCCCTAGCCTCTTACTCACCCAGGCAGCGTCGTTGAACGGAAACTCTTGCAGGGCCACCGTCATGTACTCCTTTTTGGTGCAGACAGCCACCACCAGCGTCCCGTCGGCTGTGAAGAAGGCCTCAAAGCCCGTCCCGTTGGTGGTGAAGAAGCTGGTAGGGTCGAAGGACAGGGTGGGTTACAAGCTGGCCGGATGGATTTCTCCCTTGCTCACAGGAGCCACACTGAGACCCAGTGCCGGATTTACGTAGAAGCTAAACAAGCTATAGCTTAGGGCCCCCAAAAAAATTTAAGGGGGAAAAAACTGGATGTACGTTTCCAAAATATAAGATAAAAAACAAATAAAATGAAACCTACACCATTTTAAGTTAGAGCTTAATAATTACTTCATTATTAATATAGTAAAGCTAAAGGGACCCCTGACCATTAGGGTCCAGTCGTGGCCGACTCTGGGGTTGTGGCGCTCATCTCGCTTTATTGGCCGAGGGAGCCGGCATACAGCTTCCGGGTCATGTGGCCAACATGACTAAACCGCTTCTGGCGAACCAGAGCAGCGCACGGAAACACCGTTTAGCTTCCCGCCGGAGCGGTACCTATTTATCTACTTGCACTTTGAGGTGCTTTCAAACTGCTAGGTTGGCAGGAGCAGGGACCAAGCAACAGGAGCTCACCCCGTCACGGGGATTCGAACCGCCAACCTTTCGATCGGCAGGCCCTAGGCTCTGTGGTTTAACCCACAGTGCTCCCCGTGTCCCTATATTATTAGTATACTCCTCCTTAATTGTATTTCAGTTCAACAATTACTTGGATAAAATACATATTTTGTTATGTGCAAATGGCTTTAGATTCTCTGTTTAGGGAAGCTTTTAATGTTTGACGATCTATTGTATTTTAATATTTTGTTGGAAGCCATCCAGAGTGGCTGGGGAATAAATAAGTTGTTGTTGTTGTTGTTGTTTTGTTGTTGTTGTGTCCATAAATTACCATATAACATACAGTATATTCAACAGTGACAATTTATTGCTGACAAAGGACAGCTGGACATATAAAGGGCCCCATTACCTCCAGTAACTTAGGGCCTCATCAAACCTAAATTTGGCCCTGCTGAGACCCTCACACCGGGGCACCGGGTACTTAATCGTTCAAGAGGTCCGTTCTTAATTCGTTCAAGAGGTCGTTATGTACTGAATTCGTTCAAGAGGTCCGTTCTTAACCTGAAACTGTTCTTAACCTGAAGCACCACTTTAGCTAATGGGGCCTCCCGCTGCTGCGCGATTTCTGTTCTCATCCTGAAGCAAAGTTCTTAACCTGAAGCACTATTTCTGGGTTAGCGGAGTCTGTAACCTGAAGCGTCTGTAACCTGAAGCGTCTATAACCCGAGGTACCCCTGTATTTGACTATTGATTCAAAACTCCTAAGATATATTTTATATAATTGACTTTTCATTTCTACTCTTTGTATATCGTACTGTTGTTTTATCGCTATTGTCAGAGAACTGCCATCGGCTCACGGGGGAGAGGGGAAAAGCTGGATGGATTACAGAGAGCCCCCAAAGATCGTGGGAAGCAGCACCTCCTCAGCGGAGGAGAGTAACCACGCCTCCAGTGGAGAGGAGCTGCAGGGCTCGGAGGAGGCGAGGCGATGCCAGGACACCTTGCCTGGGCAAAGCGGGGAGAAGAGAGGTCCTCCGTTACCCAAGCCCTCCTTGTGCAGTAGGCTTCCGTGCAGAGAGGGGAGGCGTAGGCTGGGCGTCAAGAAACTACTCTGCTGGGGAAGGTTTAAGGACCGCCCACTCTCAGATTCTGCCATTGAATGAGCCAGCCACGGGAGAGTGGCGCTCTGGACAGATAAAGTTTATTTTGGCATCCAAAGCAAGGCTTCGCACCTGAGCAGGGAGGCATTTGCCTGCTTGCTCTCGAGCAACCCCTTGGAACCTTTACAGCTATGGCCGATGGCTGACGCAAATAAAGATTCATTCATTCATTCCGCCCCCACCCAAACCCAGCCCGATTTCCGCTGCCCCCTTCCGACCGACCTGTACAGCTGTTTCCGCTTCAGCCTGGCCGCTTCCTCTGGGAAGTCTTTGGCCTCTTCGACGAGGCACACCCAGGCGTGGAAGGCGAAGCCGCTCCCGGGCCACTTCTGGATGGAAGGCACCATAATCCCTGCCATGCTGGGCGTGAGGTCGAAATACTGCAGGGCTCGCTCGGCGCCATCTTTCCTGGCCATCCCAGAGAGGGCCCGGATGACTTGGACGGTGTAGGGGTGAGGCCCCTTGCCCTGCTCAGTCCGGAGGAGCTTCAGGAGCTGCCTCAGTTCCCCCGGCCGGATGGAGAGGCCGCCCAAGACCTGTCACCAAAAATGAAAAAAATTGGGTGATAATTAGTGTTGGAGGTGTAATAGAATGACTGGAACATTAAACCACATGTGGTGGTCATGTCCGGAAATTAAGAAATACTGGAATATGATACATGAGGAAATTAAAAAGCTAATAAAAACATCACATAATAAAAGAGCAGAATCATACTTATTAGGAATTTGAATGGTGACATTCCGAATGACAAATTTAATATTTGACCTGTACGCGACAACAGCAGCGAGAATGGTAATAGCCAATATTTGAAAAGGGAATTACGTCCCAACCAAAGAAGAACGGCTGAATAAATTATGCGAATACTCGGAATTAGCAAAGCTGACTGATTTGATAAGACAAAAACCAAAAATATAATCCAGAAACAACGGAAATGTTTAAATGATTATTTACGTAGACAAAGATTAAGTGTAAGGTATTGGTTGTGTTTAGATTTATGAAAGATTTAGAAAACTTATCGACTAGCATATTTGTATGAGATTGTATGGCGAAAATACGGAATAACAGATACAATTTTGCTTAAAATGTATATAGGAAGTGCAGTGTAAGCGATGGAAGTCAATGAATGAAATTTTATTATTGAGATAATTTGAAGAATAAATTTGGAAGAAATTCTTCCAACTTTTCTTCTTCTTCCAATTTTTCTCCCCTTTTTTTGTTCTTTTTTATGTATGTATGTATGCTTATCTGATATATATATACCGTATTTTTTGTTCTATAGGACGCACTTTTTCCCCTCCAAAAATTAAGGGGAAATGTGTGTGCGTCCTATGGAGCGAATGCAGGCTCCTTGGCTTCAGCGATAGCAACGCGAAGCCTCTGAAGCGCAGAGGGAGCGCTCCCTCCGCGCTCCGGAGGCTTCGCGTTGTTTTCGCTGAAGCCTGGAGAGCGAGAGGGGTCAGTGCGCACCAACCCCTCTCGCTCTCCAGGCTTCAGGGATAGCTGCCTGAAGCCTTCGGAGCGCAGAGCGAGTTCCCGCTGCGTTCTGGAGGCTTCAGGTTCCTTTCGCTGAAGCCAGGAGAGTCTTGCTTCTCTTTCTCTGAAGCCAGGAGAGAGTTGCTTCTTATTGAGAGCCAGTGTGGTGTAGTGGTTAAGAGCGGTAGACTCGTAATCTGGGGAACTGGGTTCGCTTCCCTGCTCCTCCACATGCAGCTGCTGGGTGACCTTGGGCTAGTCACACTTCTCTGAAGTCTCTCAGCCCCACTCACCTCACAGAGTGTTTGTTGTGGGGGAGGAAGGGAAAGGAGATTGTTAGCCGCTTTGAGACTCCTTAAAGGGAATGAAAGGCGGGATATCAAATCAAACTTTTCTCTTCTTCTTCTTGCACTCCCGGCTTCAGCAAAAGGAACCTGAAGCCTGTGGAGTGCAGCGGGAACTCGTGCTGCGCTCCGAAGGCTTCAGGGATAGCTGTGCGCAGCCATAGCCGCGCATGGCTTCCTCTTTAGCAGCACGCTAAAGAAGCCATAGCCGTGCACAGCCTCTCCCTGCCGGAGGGGCTGCGCGCGGGTAAAGAGGAGGGATGGATCCTGCTCGCTGTCTTGGCTTCTTTTTCTCTTTGGGGTTGGGGGGGGGAACCCGGGCTTCCCCTGGCAGCCCCAGCAGCTCTGGGAGAAAAGAGAAGCTCCTCTTTGGGGCTGGGGGGGGAAAATAAAATTATTTTTCTTGATTTCCCCCTCTAAAAACTAGGTGCGCCTTGTGGTCCGGTGCGCCTTATGGAGCGAAAAATACGGTATATGTATTTGCAGTATTTTGCTTGTATTTTGTAATAATTATGCTAAATAAATTAATAATAATAATAATAATAATAATAATAATAATAATGATGATGACCTGGAGGAGGTAGAGGAGGTTCTCGGAGCACTTGGGGTCCAGCTCCTGCCCCGTGGCACACAGGGCATCCAGCAGGCAGCTCACCATCCCTGCCTTGACGCAGGTGGTACGGCTCTGCAGCGAGGCATTGCAGATCTTCTTGAGCCACTCGGAGAGGAAGATCTGGAGATCCCGGGACTTCAGCTCTGGGATCCACATAATCAGGATCAAAAGGGGCTGCTCGTTGTGGATCAGGCGTGCGGGAGAAGAGCTGTGGTCGCCTTCGACGGCCTGAAGTGGGGGGGAGAGTCAAGTTGTAATCATTATTTTTTTAAAAAAATTTTTTTTATTAAATTTTCTGTTTTACAATTTAAAATACAGTCATACCTCGGGTTACAGACGCTTCAGGTTGCCTTTTTTTGGGTTACGGAGCGCCGAAACCCATAAGTACCGGAACGGGTTACTTCTGGGTTTCGGCGGCTGCGCATGCGCAGAAGCGCTAGATTGCGCCTTGCGCATGCACAGAAGCACTGAATCACAACCCGTGCATGTGCAGATGCGCCACTGCAGGTTGCGGATCCTGCGGGTTGCAAACGTGCATCCCGCATGGATCACGTTCGCAACCCGAGCGTTCACTGTACAGTCATACCTTGGAAGTCAAACGGAATCCGTTCCAGAAGTTTGTCCAGCTTCCAAAACGTTCAAAAACCAAATCGCGGCTTCCGATTCGCTCCTGCAGCCAATCACAAGCCTCGTTGGACCTCTGGTTTCCAAAGAACGGTCGAAAACCGGAACACTCAATTCCATGTCTGCGCAGCGTTTGGGAGCCAAAACGTTCAGGAACTAAGGTGCTTGACTTCCAAGGTACGACTGTACTCATTTAAACATCCTTAAAATACCAATGACTTCCCTTCCTCTCTTTCCATGGTTCACTTTGCATAACATAAATCCCTGCATATTTTACGAACACTAAACCATTCAGCATTCCATTATTGCAGCAATCAAAACCGGTCCATGGGGTCACGAAGAGTCGGACACGACTAAACGACTAAACAACAACAAAGGTAAAGGGACCCTGACCATTAGGCCCAGTCGTAGCCAACTCTGGGGTTGCGTCGCTCATCTCGCTTTATTGGCCGAGGGAGCCGGTGTACAGCTTCTGGGTCATGTGGCCAGCAGGACTAAGCCGCTTCTGGTGAACCAGAGCAGCTCACAAAAACGCCGTTTACCTTCCCGCCGGAGTGGTACCTATTTATCTACTTGCACTTTGACGTGCTTTCGAACTGCTAGGTTGGCAGGAGCAGGGACCGAGCAATGGGAGCTCACCCCGTCACGGGGATTCGAACCGCTGACCTTCTGATCGGCAAGTCCTAGGCTCTGTGGTTTAACCCACAGCGCCACCCGCGTCCCAACTGTTTGGAGGTAGACTGTTTGAATTGTGCATTGCTTTCTAACGATTTGTTGGGTCTCTGGACCGTAATAAAGATTGATTGATTGATATTACGCCTTTCATGCAACTGAACTGTGGACGGATCCTGCTTAGCTCTGCCAACGTGCTGGCAGATTTTAATTCTCTCTTGTCAAAAAGATCTCACCATGTTGAGGAGCTCCTGCAGCAGTTTCTTGGTCGGCTGACTCTGGCTCTTCAGAACTTCATATAAGTGCGAATAGCCAATTCTTTCTTTGAACACCTCCTGAAAAATGCAGGCAGCCGTTAAGGATTAGCGAGAGCAGATCATGCCATTAATTCCCGAATTCCCACCCAAAGCAAACTGGGGAGGGGGAATTAGAGAGAGGGGGCTCAAACTTTTCTATTCTGCTTCAAGTACGATTTGGGATTTCTCGTTCCGTTACCCTGACTTCCACATATGCATTTGCCGGGAGCTTATGTGATTAAGAAACAACATGAATATAGCACAGAATTCGGTTGGCCAAGGCAAAAGTGGGTGAACAGCGATTTGTTTTGTGCTTGAGCTCTTTATTAGGTAGCAAAAATTATATCCTGGCTTGATTGTAACCAAACCCCTCTAAGCAGTTTACAGGAAGTGTTGAAATTGCCAATGAAAACAAGTACTTCTAAACATTTAAACGAGCGTTCAGATTAACAGCAAAAGATTTGAACGTGCAAGCATCTACGCGTTTGGGTTTTATGCGGCAGCTGTAGCAGGGCTAAGTCTACAGATCAAATTGGTCGGACGGGTGCAAAAGGGGTAAGGCAATCCCACAAGCTTTCAGCATGAGGACTGTTCAAAGATTAAACAAAACACAAAAACAGTGTCGAGTCCAGTTAAAGCTAAAGAAGTCAGTGGTGGAATAAAATCAGTGTAAAGTCGGAAAGTCCCAACTCAAAATAGAGATGTTAGTTGCTTCTCGTGTTTTGGTTTGTGGCACGTATGAATAATAAAGTGAGCATTCAGATCTAGGTAGGAAATATTGTGGGGTATTAAGAGAAATAGATCATCTGTCTCCAACCAGCCTAGAGTTTAGGACTTCGGAAGAACTTTACAAAAGTTCACACGCAAAACACACCGCCCACTTTCAAAACGGCCAACGCTTAGACTAGACCAGGGGTCTGCAACCTTTAAGACAAAAAGAGCCACTTGGACCCGTTTCTGGGAAAAAAACAAAAACTGGGAGCCGCAAAACCATTGTGACATTTAAAACAAACATAACACTGCATATATTGTTTCTTACCTTAATGCTATATATACAGGATCGTAACGCACGCACCGCCCCCATGCGACGTCACAGCCAGTACAGCGCCCGCCACAGTGGGGAGTGTCGGGGCGCACAATGCGCCTCCTCCCCTCGCTAGTATCCGCCCCGGAGCCGCGGCAAAGGTGTAAAAGAGCCACATGCGGCTCCGGAGCCGTGGGTTGCAGACCCCTGGACTAGACCCACATAAATTAACTTGGGTCTCTTCATTTGAATGGGTCTATTCTGAGTATAATCTACTTTAGGCATAGGCAAACTCGGCCCTCCAGACGTTTTGAGACTACAATTCCCATCACCCCTGACCACTGGTCCTGTTAGCTAGGCATGATGGGAGTTGTAGTCCCAAAACATCTGGAGGGCCGCGTTTGCCTACGCCTGATCTAGTTGAACACAACCCTATTTTTTAGGTTCCTAGACGCTGACTCTGTTCTACAAACCCCAGATCAGAATCTTAAGTGAGAATGTATCTGAGACTCCAGACCCGAATTGGGCGGGACACCCCAGAATTACAGAAGGCACCCAAGCTTCGGATTGGATCCTGGGATGTCCCGTTTTTGGTTCTCATGAAAGTGCGGCCCCGAAAGACGGGCGTCCCGATTTTCCTCTGCGGGACGTTGGAGGGTGTGAGACTCTAATCGCATCTTTGTTTAAGTAATCTTGTTAAAGGTAAGAGGATAATTCCTCTACTTGCTGCCAACAGTGTTATCTCAAGCACTGTACTTCCCCCAAGGAAATACACAGGCAGGTAACTGGTGGGGAATTTGATACCACACACAACATTTTCAAGTTTCGAGCTCTCATGATTCAAGAAAATAGATCTTGCCTTCTGTGGGTATCAAATGAAGCCACGTCTTGACAATAATATACCGAAGTGTCTTTCAAACCACATGCAGAGAGTTGTGAGAACTCACACCTTTTTTTCTTCCTTGGACTACAAATGCATTTTTAGTAACTCTTTTAGATACTTTTCCTCTGGCAACAGGGTTGCTGAGGCTGCTACCTGTCTTCCTAGTTATCTCCCGCTTGGACTACTGCAATGCGCTCTGTGTGGGGCTACCTTTGAAGGTGACCCGGAAACTACAATTAATCCAGAATGCGGAAGCTAGACTGGTGACTGGGGGCGGCCGCCGAGACCACATAACACCAGTCTTGAAAGACCTACATTGGCTCCCAGTACGTTTGCAAGCACAATTCAAAGTGTTGGTGCTGACCTTGAAAGCCCTAAACAGCCTCAGTCCAGTATACCTGAAGGAGCGTCTCCACCCCCATCATTCTGCCCGGACACTGAGGTGCAGCTACGAGGGCCTTCTGGTGGTTCCCTCCCTGCGAGAAGCAAAGTTACCGGGAACCAGTCAGAGGGCCTTCTCGGTGGTGGCGCCCTCCCACCAGATGTCAAAGAGATAAACAACTACCAGACTTTTAGAAGACATCTGAAGGCAGCTCTGTTCAGGGAAGTTTTAAATGTGTGACATTTTAATGTATTTTTAATCTTTGTTGGAAGCCGCCCAGAGTGGCTGGGGAAACCCAGCCAGATGGGCGGGATACAAATAAATTATTATTATTATTATTATTATTATTATTATTATTATTATTATTATGTCTCCAGCTTTAGCTGTATATATTATTATTTATTGCATTTTTCTCCCACTATCTTTTCCTCCAAGGAGCTCAAGCTTGCATACATAAAAAGGTAAAGGTACCCCTGCCCATACGGCCAGTCTTGACAGACTCTAGGGTTGTGCGCCCATCTCACTTAAGAGGCCGAGGGCCAGCGCTGTCCGAAGACACTTCCGGGTCACGTGGCCAGCGTGACAAAGCTGCATCTGGCAAGCCAGAGCCGCACACGGAAACGCCGCTTACCTTCCCGCCAGTAAGCGGTCCCTATTTATCTACTTGCACCCGGGGGTGCTTTCGAACTGCTAGGTTGGCAGGCGCTGGGACCGAGCAACGGGAGCGCACCCCGCCGCGGGGATTCGAACCGCCGACCTTTCGATCGGCAAGTCCTAGGCGCTGAGGCTTTTACCCACAGCGCCACCCGCGTCCCTTTGCATACATAGTCCTCCCATTTAATCCTAACAACGACCCTGAGAGGTAGGTGAGGCTGAGAGGCAGAGACGGGCCCAAGATCACCCAGGGAGCTGCTTGGCCAAGAGGGGATTCGAACCCTGGTCTCCCAGGTCCTAGTCTGGTGCTCTAACCGCTGCGCCACACTGTCTCTCTTGCTGTTCATCCTGTCCTCCTTATTTTACCAAAAAAAAATATGGTCCCAAGAGGCGAGGGAATGTGTGTCCCTTACCTTGGCCGAAGGAGAGTTGCTCATGATAGACGTGAGGACTCCGATAGCGTGGATGGGAATGGCGTCAGAGTTGTTGTCGAAAACCTGAAGGCGAAAAGGAAGGCGGTAGGTGAGAAATCAAGACCAACATCTGTCTACCTGGCAGGGTGGAAATCTCGGATGCGATGGGTCGCCCAACTTCTGAAGCTCTCCCAAGATGGTTTCCCTTACCCTCGAGCGAATACCGTCTCGTAAACAGACTGTACAGTGGTACCTCGGGTTAAGTACTTAATTCGTTCTGGAGGTCTGTTCTTTACCTGACACTGTTCTTAACCTGAAGCACCACTTTAGCTAATGGGGCCTCCTGCTGCTGCCGCGCCGCGGAGCACGATTTCTGTTCTCATCCTGAAGCAAAGTTCTTAACCTTGAAGCACTATTTCTGTGTTAGCGGAGTCTGTAACCTGAAGCGTATGTAACCCGAGGTACCACTGTAATGGCGACTGCTGCCCTGGGTTCCTGGTTTCTCTTTAGCTCTTTGATAAGCCTAAGAAGGACACTGCAAGAATTCGATCCTCTCTGCTTTCAAGCCAGGAACAGCAGCGGGTTCAAAGCAAGCGCGGAATGCGAGGTGCTTAAATCTCATGAAGCGGAAGGAGGGTTTGGGGATGCAGACCTTCCAACTATGACATTAAGCCGCGGCACGTATCACAAAAAGCAGGCACATTAAATTAACGTCGCAAGGCACATCACAGGCACGAGCAAGAAAGATACTGAAAAAGAGGGGCAGGGAACGTTTTACCACGGCTGCCTGCTACCCTGGGCTCCTTCGGGAAGATAGATACAGTAAAAAAACTAAACTCTCAAAACCGGTATTTCTGTTCTACTGCGATAGGTATTGGTTCCCTCACTGCGAGAAGCCAAGTTACAGGGAACCAGGTAGAGGGCCTTCTCAGTAGTGGCGCCCGCCCTGTGGAACGCCCTCCCATCAGATGTCAAAAAGAACAACAACTACCAGCCTTTTAGAAGACATCTGAAGGCAGCCCTGTTTAGGGAAGCTTTTAATGTTTGATGCATTACTGCATTTTAATATTCTGTTGGAAGCCGCCCAGAGTGGCTGGGGAAACCCAGCCAGATGGGCGGGGTATAAATAATAAATTATTATTATTATCATATATTTTTCCAAGGCCTCGTTTTTGGCTGATCTGTTTTTGATCTTCAAGTCACCGTCTCCCCCCCCCCCCGTGTGGGGAACAAAATATCCCAATTACGTGTCGGCAGTCTCTTTGGCACGCATCCAGAATTGCAAGTAAATTGGCAGCGTGAATTTTCAGAAGTCATTACAACACACGCAAACACACACAGAGAACTCCTAAGCCTCCAATGCCACGAACTAAGTTAGGAAGCCCAGCCAGATGAGTGGGGTATAAATAAAATTCTTCTTCTTCTTCTTCTTCTTCTTCTTCTTCTTCTTCTTCTTCTTCTTCTTCTTCTTCTCACTTTTCCCCGTTTTTCTTCCCGCTCTCCTCCTCCTTTCTTCCTCTCTTGCTCTCCAGTAGCCGCTAGGAGCTGCCCAAGGGAGGACGGCAGTGGTAGTCATGGAGAGGTCAAGGAGAGGCAATAATAATAATAATAATAATAATAATAATAATAATTTTTTATTTATACCCCTCCCTGCCCGGTTCAGAAAACCGGGCTCAGGGCGGCTAACAACAAATTTAAATTAGTCAATGCAACAAAAAAACAGCATGAAATACAATATAAAATGTGAATAACAATAAATTCAGAATTCAAAAATCAATCTGGGGGGGAAATCCATCCAATAAACATTAGATGGCTAGCTGGCTAAATTAGTCCTCTTTGGGCCAGCGAGGAGACCAGGGGAGAATTAGCTGTGGGATCCCAGAGCGGGTAATCTTTATAAAAAGGGGAAGGGGAGGGAAGGAAGGGGAATAAAAGATCAGGCGGAATTCAAATTGAAGGCCAGGCGGAATAGCTCTGTCTTATTGGCCCTGTGGAAAGAGGTTAAATCCTGAAGGGCCCTGGTCTCATGGGACAGAGCATTCCACCAGGTTGGAGCCATCACTGAGAAGGCCCTGGCCCTGGTGGAGGATAGTCTGACTTCCTTAGGGCACGGGACCTCTAAACTAAGATTATTCATGGACCTTAAGGTCCTCTGCAGGGCAAACCAGTAGAGGCGGTTCCATAAATACGAGGGCCCTAAGCCACAAAGGGCTTTAAATGGGATGCTCCTTCACCGCTGCCGCTTAGAACCAGTGCCGACTCATCCTCTTCCCTGAGCGCGGCGGCAGCAGCACTGGAGCAGGAAATAGGGACATTCTGGAATCAAATCAGAAGCCAGGATAGCATACAGAATTCTGGGTCTGTCTCTGGAAAATCAGGCACGAATGAAGGAGGACAAAACTAAGTTAAAGCCAGCAGAAACCGATCAGGTTTTATTGACTTCTGTAGGGTCAAAGTACAGTGGTACCTTGGAACGGAACCCGTTCTGTCTGACTTCCAAAACCTTCGGGAACCAAGGCACAGCTTCCGATTGGCTGCAGGAGGCTCCTGCAGCCAATCGGAAGCCAGGTCAGACGTTCAGGTTCCAAAGAACGTTCGAAAACTGGAACAATCGCTTCTGTTTTCTATCGTCCAGGAGCCAAAACATTAGACTCCCGACGCGTTTGAAAACCAAGGTACGACTGTAATACACCCAAGTAGTCAATACTGGCTCTCATTAACCTAACATCAGCAGCTATTTTGCATCTGTATGTAGCAGAAATAATGCAAGGTATTTAAATATTGACTATTCAATTTAAGAAAAGCTCATTAATTCATTTCCCCTTTCTTTCTTTAATGAGCATCTTTTATACTGTAGGAAGCGATAATTTTCTCTCTTTATAATTCCATCTGTGTACTCTTATATCGTTGTTTGTAGAATCTTATCAACCTTACAATGCAAAACCAACCAACCAACCATATTTTTTTAATCGCAGTTTGGGGAAAAATCCCAGTTAATTTTAATCACTGCTAGGTCTTATTTGGACGCAAGTGCGAACTACAACTATAGCAAACTACAGAAGAGAAGATAAATCTACTCACGAAAAGGAGAAGAGGGAGGAAACTAACCCACACAGAATATTTCCAATTGTCACTTTGATGTCCAGTGACCCATGCTAAAGCATTGCTTGACTGGTGAGCTATTGAAAGGTGGACACTGCGGGAGTTTTGCTACAGATCACTTGACAGGTCACAGAAACTGCAAATTCCCCATTCTCAGGGAGCGGGGCAGGTTTTCCAGAAAACCAGGAACAGGAAAAATTCCCTACACAAATCCGGGGGACTTTGCCTCAGAAAGCTTGTCCTGGAATTTATTCTGGTGCCCCGGAGTGCGAGCGAACCAATTTAGCACGTTTATTTTCCTTGCATTTAGGAAGCAAAAGCTAAAAGCTAAAACTGTCAGGCTTCCATAATACTGAATTTGCGGTTGGTGCCCTTTTGAGGAACTTACGAAACAGAAAGTTTTCGACGGAATAACAGAGCACTGGGAAATCTTCTGCCCAATACAGTGGTATCTCTGTTTTCGAACATAATCTGTTCCGGAAGACCGTTCGACTTCCGAAACGTTCGAAAACCGAGGCGCAAAGAGCAACCTGCCAATTCAATAAAGAAACTGTGAAAAACAACAGAGAACACCCAGCGGAAGCCATTTGACTTCTGAGGTGCGTTCGAAAATGGAAGCATTTACTTTCGGGCTTTCGGTGTTCAAAAACCGAAGAGTTCAGCAGCGGAGGTGTCCAAAAACTGAGGTACCACTTATCAGTGTTTCCATGCCAACAAGCAACGTGCGGCAGCCAGAAGGAAGGAGCCCAAAGTGAGAAAATTTCGTGGGGCAAGTGTTGCGGGGCTGGGCCCTCTCATGTGGACACAGCCTAGCTTGGTACTGTCCACACAAAGGAAAACTAAGCGAGTTTGCCTCGATACGGCAAACTGAATGCAAAAGAACACATAAAATTCAAGGTGCTGTATGAATGTCAGGGACTGTCAGGAAGCTGAGTAGTGTGAACTCAGATAAGGGAGGCAGGAGGCTGGAGTCTGACTCAGGAAAGGAGATAAAAAAATTCTTTCCAGTAGCACCTTAAAGGTAAAGGGACCCCTGACCGTTAGGTTCGAACCGGTGACCTTCTGATCAGCAAGCCCTAGGCTCTGTGGTTTAACCCACAGCGCCACCCGCGTCCCTTAGTTGATGGAATAGAGGAATATAAATGAGATGAAATATGTGATATTATGCAGTAAGTGAAGGGGATGGAAATAACAACAGCATGGAAGGGAAGGTTGTGGGGATTCGAACCGCCGACCTTCTGATCAGCAACCCCTAGGCTCTGTGGTTTAACTCACAGCGCCACCTGCACCTTAGAGACCAACTACCGTATTTTTTGCTCTATAAAACTCACTTTTTCCCTCCTAAAAAGTAAGGGGAAATGTGTGTGCATCTTATGGAGCAAATGCAGGCTGTGCAGCTATCCCAGAAGCCGGAACAGCAAGAGGGATTGCTGCTTTCGCTGCGCAGCGATCCCTCTTGTTGTTCTGGCTTCTGAGATTCAGAATATTTTTTTTCTTGTTTTCCTCCTCCAAAAACTAGGTGCGTCTTGTGGTCTGGTGCGTCTTATAGAGCGAAAAATACGGTAAGTTTGTTATTGGTATGTGCTGTCAGATAGGAAAGGAGGTTGGGGATTTGTGGGGACCTGTACAGGCCAGGAGACAAGAATCAGAGTCACGGGATGCTTCAGAGCTGGAGGAATAGGACGACGAGGCAGGCCAGGCAACTGAAGGGTCGGGTGCTTCCCCACACTCTCCTGCACCAATGTCTCCCAGAACCAGAAGAGGACTGAAGGGGGAAGAGCAGAGGCAGCTTCCATGCTGGCGTAGTCTCTACGGAAACTACAACAAATCCAGAATGTGGCAGCTAGACTGGTGACTGGGAGCGGCCGCCGGGACCACATAACACTGGTCCTGAGAGATCTGCATTGGCTCCCAGTACATTTCTGAGCACAATTCAAAGTGTTGGTGCTGACCTTTCAAACCCTAAATGGCCTTGGCCCAGTAGACCTGAAGGAGCGTCTCCACCCCCATTGTTCTGCCCGGACACTGAGGTCCAGCGCCAAGGGCCTTCTGGCGGTTCTCTCCCTGCAAGAAGCGAGGTTACAGGGAACCAGGCAGAGGGCCTTCTCAGTAGTGGCACCCGTCCTGTGGAATGCCCTCCATCAGATGTCAAGGAAATAAACAACTATCTTACTTTTAGAAGGCATCTAAAGGCAGCCCTGTTTAGAGATGCTTTTAATATTTGATGATTTATTGTATTTTAATATTTTGCTGGAAGCTGCCCAGAGTGGCTGGGGAAACCCAGCCAGGTGGGCGGGGTATGTGTGTATGTATGTATGTATATATGTATGTATGTATAAATAAATAAAATTGTTGTTGTTGTTGCCACGTGCTTTGACTTGTCCTCTTTTGCCAAGTCTATGAGTTCCCCCTCTAAGAGATTTATATTTCAAGTTATTATTATTATTAACATTCTTATTACCGTATTTTTCTGTCTATAAGACGCCCCCATGCATAAGATGCCCCCTATTTTGGGGGATTCAGATTTAAGAAAATGGGGGGAGATGGCCCAGAGCATAAGACGCCCCCTAATTTTTGACATTATTTTTTTTAGGGGGGAAACCTAGTCTTATACACGGTATTATTAGGGTACATGTGCACAGCCTGTCTGGGGAAGGTACATAAACCAGTAGCTGCAACTGTACCAAGAAGCATAGACTTCGGAATAAATGCCTAAATTCTGGACTGGTGTGTTTTTAGGGAATCCATAGCTGTAGAAGCGACTCTCTTTGACAATAAAGAGTTAAACTCTCTGCCGTGTGAATTTCTTTGGCTGGGAAACACCCTTGGAAATCAAGATACGAAAGGATTTTAAAGCTTCGCAAACAACAAGTCGACAGCCTACTGAACATGCAGCAACCACCAAACATTCTTACGCGACGCCACGAGAAAGCAAGGCACATTATACAACACTGAATCCATGTGCTCTAAAATATCCAGCTGTGTCAACTAGATGTCTCGTTCAAATGCAGACTGCACCACAGCAATGAAATTGAGAGATAAATGCAATGCCAGCGTGAAGGTGTGATCAGAAAAAAAATGTTCAGGTTGCTCCCAAGGGGGAAAGAACAAGGGATAGGTCAAATAATAAATAAGGCTAAGATACCAAATCGTCAAACTCCACAATACATGGGTTTGAAAGACAAATAATCTTATGAGTTTTCAAAGCCAGCAATCTTAAGGAAGCTGCCCAGAGTGGCTGGGGAAACCCAGCCAGATGGGTGGGGTACAAATAATAAATCCTAAATAATATATGATAAATAAATAATAAATAAAGCTTTTGAAGATCCTGAACGATCGACCAGGAATCAGGGAACATGCCAGCCAGGCAGGTGTCTCTGCCAGGGTCCTACTCGAGTGTAGGACGAGCTCCTCACACTGGCTTCAGGCACCAGGCCTGTGGGCAGACCAACTCTGCACTACAAATATGTCTCCTGGGCATAGCAATGCTCTCTCGCCAACTGAGGTTTCCAGGCATACTGCCTCCAACACTGGAAGCAGAAGGTAGTTATTATGGCTAGTCGTCTTCGATGGTTTTTAGCAATGTGCCTCTACAATGGCTTGGCCATATCCACAGAATGGAAGATGGCAGGATCCCCAAAGATGTGCTCTATGCGGAGCTGGCTGTTAGAATTCCTGCTCCGTGATTGCAGTCATGGGATTGTTGTCTATCACATGACGGTATATGTTTTGACTCCACAGAGTGGGAAGTGACAGAGGCAGGATGTTTGTGTTACTGTGCTCCGTGAAGTGGGACTATCGTCCTTTGTCCTTTCTCTCTTTGCTGTCTGATGCTAGAGAGAGAGGGAGCCATGTTGCAGTGCTCCGTGTGTGTTTATATGTAAATAAAGTAAAAAGGTAAAGGGACCCCTGACCATTCTGATCAGCAAGTCCTAGGCTCTGTGGTTTAACCCACAGTGCCACCCGCGTCCCTTATGTAAATAAAGTAGATTACCCAAAATGGTGAGTTACTGAGGTCTGTTACGCAAACTGAGAACACTTTGTGGATCCCTAAGTGTGCCGATGTCTGTTGGCGTCGGTCGCTGTGATGTTCGGGCAGAAGAAAGTTTTTGAAACTCCCAAACGATCGACCAGGAGGGAGAGAACATGCCAGTCGGGCATGTGTCTCTGCTAGGGTCCTACTCGAGTGTAGGATGAGCTCCTGACAAAAACTTCCCTCTGCAGCAAGGAACCGTCCACTCTCCACCCTTCTAAGTCCTTTCTCGATTCTATTCATTCTCCCAGAGACGCCTAGCCAGAATTGGTCGAAAAAGCAGACTTTTATTATTCTTACGGGACGCAGGTGGTGCTGTGGGTTAAACCACAGAGCCTAGGACTTGCCGATCAGAAGGTCGGCAGTTCGAATCCCCGCAACGGGGTGAGCTCCTGTTGCTCGGTCCCTGCTCCTGCCAACCTAGCAGTTCGAAAGCACAAAAGTGCAAGTAGATAAATAGGTACCACTCTGGCGGAAAGGTAAACGGCGTTTCTGTGAGCTGATCTGGTTCGCCAGAAGCGGCTTAGTCATGCTGGCCACATGACCTGGAAGCTGTACGCGGGCTCCCTCGGCCAATAAAGCGAGATGAGCGCTGCAACCCCAGAGTCAGCCATGACTGGACCTAATGGTCAGGGGTCCCTTTACCTTTATTATTCTTACCTCTTCCGTATTATTTAAATTCCCTCCTTTCAAATCCCGGGAAATCCCCCCGTGCCCTGTGAAGGAAAAAGGAGAGCGCATGCAAGCCCGCGTGCAAAGCCCATCATCTCACACACCACAAGCTGCAGGCAATACCTGGCGGGTTTCCGTCTCGGTCGCGGCGGAATCGTCCCAGGACGCTTTGAACTCCCCACTCAGGTAGAGCTGTCGAAAACGGGGTCAGAAAACCAACGTCATTCAAGGGAGAAGGGGGAGGGAAGCAAGCGAGGAAGGAGGAGGACAGGGGCAGGCTAGGCCAGAGATAGCCACAGCCGCGTTGAGGGCCAGCGCTTTATTACATCTTGCATTGTTGCCAAATGTAGAAAGCTCTTGGCAGGTCAGATGCACAGGCTGGTCGAGGCTGAGGCATCTGAGGGCATCTGAACGCCCGTCTCAGCATTCGCCCCTATGCTATACGACAAGTCCATGTTTCACCTGGGAGTCATTTTGGACTCACAGCTGTCCATGGAGGCGCAGGTTAATTCTGTGTCCAGGGCAGCTGTCTACCAGCTCCATCTGGTACGCAGGCTAAGACCCTCCCTGCCTGCAGACTGTCTCGCCAGAGTGGTGCATGCTCTAGTTATCTCCCGCTTGGACTACTGCAATGCACTCTACGTGGGGCTACCTTTGAAGGTGACCCAGAAACCGCAATTAATCCAGAATGCGGCAGCTAGACTGGTGACTGGGAGTGGCCGCCAGGACCACATAACACCGGTCCTGAGAGATCTGCATTGGCTCCCAGTCCGTTTCCGAGCACAATTCAAAGTGTTGGTGTTGACCTTGAAATCCCTAAACGGCCTCGGTCCAGTATACCTGAAGGATCGTCTCCACCCCCATCGTTCTGCCCGGACACTGAGGTCCAGCTCCGAGGGCCTTCTGGCAGTTCCTCATTGCGAGAAGTGAGGTTACAGGGAACCAGACAGAGGGCCTTCTCGGTAGTGGCGCCCGCCCTGTGGGAACGCCCTCCCTTCAGATGTGAAGGAAATAAGCAGCTATCTTCTCTTTAAAAGACATCTGAAGGCAGCCCTGTTTAGGGAAGTTTTTAATATTTAATGCTGTACTTTTTAACACTTGATTGGAAGCCGCCCAGAGTGATGGGGAAACCCAGCCAGATGGGCGGGGTATAAATAATAAATTATTGTTATTGTTATTATTATTAGTTGTAGTAGTAGTAGTATTCCACCAACATGAGAAAAAGCCAAAGTTAGGACCAGGTGTATGCTATGAATCTGTAGAAGTGTAAGAACGGCAGCATATGCAACACCAAAACCCACCTCCTGAGAAACACAGCTGCATTTCTAAGCCAAAGGGCGGCAAGGCTGGGCTTAAAAGTGCAGGGTTCGTGGTTTGCAAAATGTGAGAAATCCAATAGCGTAGGCATATGACATTTCTAATAGCGGGGGCCAATATATGCTCCCTTCTTGATGCACATGTGAAGAATCCAGTCCCCATATGTGCATCTTAATACAGTGGTACCACGGATTAAGTACTTAATTCGTTCCGGAGGTCTGTTCTTAACCTGAAACTGTTCTGAACCTGAAGCACCACTTTAGCTAATGGGGCCTCCTGCTGCTTCCGCGCCGCTGGAGCACGATTTCTGTTCTCATCCTGAAGCAAAGTTCTTAACCCGAGGTACTATTTCTGGGTTAGCAGAGTCTGTAACCTGAAGCGTATGTAACCCGAGGTACCACTGTACAGTGAAATTGGTTCTCAAACGCCTTGATACTCAAACAACTTGGAACCCAAACACTGCAAACCCGGAAGTAAGTGTTCCGGTTTGCGAACTTTTTATGGAAGCCGAAGGTGCTCCGTTTTGAGTGTTACATTGAGCAAATGCATTTGCTGTTTATTTTGCATTTTTGTATTTGCGGTTCTTTTTTTGTTGTTTTTGTGACTGTGACTGTATGGAGCCCAGTTCAGCTACTGATTGATTGATTGTGTGACTACAGCACATTGTTTATTGCTTTCATTTTATGGATCCATGGTCTCACCAGATAGTAAAAGTCATGTTAAACTGCTGTTTTAGGGGTTGTTTTTAAAAGTCTGGAGCGGATTAATCCATTTTGCGTTGCTTTCTATGGGAAAGCGCACCTTGGTTTTGGAACGCTTTGGTTTTGGAATGGACTTCTGGAACGGATTAAGTTTGAGAACCAAGGTACCACTGTAATAAATAACAATAATAGCCTCAAAGCTCAAAACCAGCCTTTCTCAACCTGTGGGTCCCCAGATGTTGTTGAACTACAACTCCCACCAACCCTAGCTAGCAAGGCCAAAGCTCAGGGATGATGGGAGTTGTAGTCCAACAACATCTGGGGACCCAGAGAATTGCAGCTCTAAACGGTCTCGGCCCTGTATACCCAAAGGAGAGCCTCTAACCCCCATCGTCCAGCCCGGACACTGAGGTCCACCTCTAAGGGCCTTCTGGCAGTTTCCTCCCCGTGAAAAGTGATGTTACAGGGAACCAGGCAGAGGGCCTTCTCGGCAGTGGCACCCACCCTGTGGAACGCCCTCCCATCAGATGTCACGGAAATAAAGATCTACAAAACCTTGAGAAGACATCTGGAGACAGCCTTGCTCAGGGAAGTTTTTATAAGATGCTTTTTTGTGTGTTTTTAATATTTTTGTTGGGAGTGTGGCTGGGGCCACCCAGTCAGATGGGCGCCATACAAATAATAAAATTGTTATTGTTGCTGTTGTTATTATTCCGTGGCGCTTGTCCCAACATGCGTATGCGTACGCGCACGCAAATAAAGCCCCAGAATCTTTGAACGTGAGCCTGGTTGTATGTGTCCAATGAATAAAAATGCCCGTCAGCTGCTGAAAACAGTAAGCACGGACTATAAAGCCGTTTCCCAGAGACGCCCCACGGTGCAGGCATTACACTGATGCTTAAATCACAGGGTAGAAGTGCAGAAAAGCCTGGTTAAGATTCCTAAGGAGGATTGTGGCAAAGAGCTTCAAAGCAATTACGGCTAAAATTGGAGCTTAGCACCTCCAGGAGGTCAACTCAGCAGGGCGGGAAGGAAGGCAGAACAATCTGGTTCAGCCTTTTGCAGGATGTAAGTTTTGTGGGAATGAACCTGCCTAGCATCTCTCTCTCTCTCTCTCTCTCTCTCTCTCTCTCTCTCTCTCTCTCTGGTGTTTGCAGGTACTCCTGCTACATCAGCAAGGCCCAAAGGTAAAGGTAAAGAGACCCCTGACCATTAGGTCCAGTCGTGGCCGACTCTGGGGTTGCGGCGCTCATCTCGCTTTACTGGCCGAGGGAACCGGTGTACAGCTTCCGGGTCATGTGGCCTGTTAGGTCGTGGGTTGACATACCAGCCGGCACAGCGATTTCTTCAAGTAGCTCTTTATTATGGTAAGCTGGAATAGAACTGACTGCGAACAGCTCAGCCGGCCTGTATTTATAGGCAGCCGGCTGTCAACATTGTAACCACAACAGCCCAGAGTTCCCGCCTAAAATAACTGCCGCGGACCTGAGTGAAAACTATCTACAGACCTGAGTGAAAACTATATACAGTATCCCCCTGTTGGCCCAGGGTGAAACTACACTACATAACACGGCCAGCATGACTAAGCCGCTTCTGGCGAACCAGAGCAGCGCACGGAAACGCCGTTTACCTTCCCGCCGGAGCGGTACCTATTTATCTACTTGCACTTTGACGTGCTTTCGAACTGCTAGGTTGGCAGGAGTAGGGACCGAGCAACGGGAGCTCACCCCGCCGCGGGGATTCAAACCGCTGACCTTCTGATCGGCAAGTCCTAGACTCTGTGGTTTAACCCAAAGCGCCACCTGCGTCCCTCAGGGGTACCCCTCAAGGCCCAAAAGGGGTATGCAATTCTCAACCTCCACCTTTGTCCTAAGACAAAGAACTAGGTGGCAGCAAAAAGATGTGCATGAACAGCTGCAGAAACCTGCAAGGATAAACTACGATCACATGAAGCAGTATAAAGGTACAATAAAAACAGGGATAAAAATCACTCAGACACAACAATGTATGTTCTCAGACAGTCCAGAACGACGCCAAAGCAGCAAAACAATGTGACAAGCAACAGGGAGCAGTATAAATCCATTCCCTGTTTCGTCACATCAGGGTGTTTAGGAATCTCGATGTATGAGATCGTGCATTAGTGCGCTTGAGTAATTTTATCCGTATCTTTATGGCACGTTTATACTTTCTGTGGAATTCAAACTGCGTTTCATATTTTGCTCTTGCCCAATTCTGCGCCTACGCGGCAAGAAAAGGCCCTGATCCCATGACTGGAAGAGATTATGGAAACTGTGTGTGTGATAGGAATTTTGTCTTAGATATATGTTAAATGTTCATAAGTGTACCAACCAAGCACATACATCGATCAGCACAGGAAGACCAACCTGGAACCATTTTGATTCCTAAACTGAGCAAATGTTTTCTCTGCAAGGTCAAAGTGGGAAACCTCCCCATTGTCTCTTTCCTCGCAAATCCTGTCTTAAGGGTATGTCTGTGTTTGAATAGGGTGTGAGCCTGTGACCTGGCCCAGGAACTAAGTATTTATCATTACAAAAGACTGGCCAGGCTCCCCAGGCAAACCAATCAAGTAACCTTCCAGACAGGAGATAAATAACGACAGGAGAAAAACAACATTCAAATTTCTGTTGTAGACCGCCTTTTCTGTGATGTAGGTATGATGTATCTGAGGGGTGGTCTTAGGTTACACCCCTTCTGTGATTGATGTATGTATGATGTTTCTGGGGGTGGTCTTGATCTACAGGGTGGCAATTTCAAAAGTCTTTATAAGGCCTTGCACACCATTGTTCTGGGTTCCTCCTCCCTCCTTCGTGTGGTGAGTGAGGACCCTGTTGCAACAGATCAATAAAGATCTGATAAAAAATTTGCTTCTCAATATTCTCTGGTTGGCCTCTGTTATTTTCTCCTACCAATAGGGAACCTATGTAAGACTCTGCAGGATCCGTGGAGGATGCTCAGATACAAAGCACTGAAGCATTTCGATTTGTTCTGCAGGAAGGCTGCTATCGTTCCTCCCCTCTCTTCCAACCACCGCCATTGCTTCCTTCTGCAGGTTCACCGGCAAATCTCCAAGCCCAAAGGCCGGAGGTGAGACACTTTTGGCCCTCCAGATGTCCTGGGACTCCAACTCTCATCAGTCACAGCCACCATGGCCAATGATCAGGAGTCCTGGGACTCGTGGTCCAGGAACGCAGGCTCCCCATCCCCAACGAAGGCAAAAGCTTCGCCCACACTTCTGCCTGCGCCGTGCCTAGAAAACACGGGTCCAAGCGGCTCCCCCCTTGCCCCATCATCCCTTCCCAGGGAAAACTCGCTCTTTAAAGACAGATTGGAACAAATGGCAATCCGAGTAACAAAGGACTTTTCACAGGGTTTTCATTGTACGCCTTGCTTTTATCTTTTTTCGCAACCTGGCAGCTAGTAGTTTGCACCCCTTACCCCTCATATTCATCATTGTTTTAAATATAATAATTGTACCATTGTGAGAAGGGGTGTCACTGGTCTGTTTTGCTTTTGTTTCATTATGTATTTTTTGTTTTCGTATGTTGTAAACCGCCCTGTGAATTTTGGTTGAAGGGTGGTATTATAATAATAATAATAATAATAATAATAATAATAATAATAATAATAGCAGTAATAATAATGATAATAGGGAAAGACCTGGGGAATGCAGAGGGACGAGACATACTTCTCCCACCTGACCAATGGCTTGTGCCGCTTGAAAAGGCTCAATTTTGCACCCCGGAGATTACTGTATTTTTCGCTCTATAACATGCACACCCCGACCATAACACGCACATAGTGTTTAGAGGAGGAAAACAAGAAAAAAAATATTCTAAACGAAACAGTGGATGTATGATTTTTGTGGTTCATGCTGTGGCCACAGACATGTGATCTGACAGTGAGTTTGGAGTAGCCCAATGCAAAAATCCTGAGGATCCATGTGGATCCATGCTTTGTAGCCACGTTTTTGCACCACTGCGGCCCCAGGCAACAGTGGGTGCGTGATTTTTTTTGGTGCAAGATGTAGCCATGGACATGCTATGTGATCTGATGGTGAATTTGGGGTGACCCAGTGCAAAAATCCTGAGGATCCATGTGGATCTGTGCTTTGTAACCATGTTTTAAGTGGGGAGGGAAGGAAAAGCACTCAAGGGACAAGGAGCACGCGTGGGGTGGGTGGAGAAGGATGCTGCTAATAATGCAGAAGAGGGGTTTAAGGGGAGAAGGCTCCTCTCCTCTCCCACTTTGCTCCTTTAAAGCAAGCAGGCTCTCTGTCCCTCTCTCCTCCCCACTCCGCGGCTCTTCTCCCGCTTTGCTGTTTCAAAGTGAGCCACGGAGGAGGGAAGGAAGGGGAACCATGGATCCTCTGCTCACGACTGCAGCAGATCCGCCCGCCACCCGTAGGCATTCGCTCCATAACACACACAAACATTTCCCCTTACTTTCTAGGAGGAAAAAAGTGAGTGTTATGGTGCAAAAAATACGGTAACTTTTCCTGGCCGCTGTGAACCAGAACACCCCTGGTTTCTGAGCTCGTAAGCTCAGCTATAGGCATCTCAGACCCTCAACTGCGATGTTATCTATTCTACTTTTATTCTGCTTTTTCTCCCAAGAGCTCAGGGTAGCAAGGGGAACAGAAAAGGCACACAAAATGCCATTATTTTCAAGTGTGTGTGTGTGTGTGTGTGTGTGTGCCTTAACTGCACCACGACTAGGGGATATTCAAAGAGAGATTTGAGCATCTCTTGTAAAACTGGCATTGCCTTGGGCGACGGCATTAGCCAGACTCCTTTCCAAAAGCAGGATTTTTTTAAAAATTATTTTTTAAAGCCATTTGATAGGACTCAAGTGAATGCAAAGCCAAACCGCCAAGGATGGTACTGTATGATTACTGTACCTTACTGTTCTGGATCAGGCGTATGATGTGCTCGAAGCAGTTGTTGCTCAGGAAGAGGGCCTGCAGGACGGGACGGTCATCGCAGTTTAACATTTCCGGAATGGCATCTGCAGCGGAGGTAGAAGACAAAGGATCTCACTAATAATAATAATAATAATAATAATAATAATAATAATAATAACAACAACAACAACAACAACAATAATAATAATAATAATAATAATAATAATAATAAATTTTATTTATATCCCGCCCTCCCCAGCCGAAGCTAACAACAATAAAATACAAAATTCTAAAATCATTTCATTATAAAATTAATTCAACTCAATTTGATGGCAACCATTAGGCTAAAGTTCTGTGAAGATTGCCAAAGGAGGGGGTCAAATAAATAATATTGATTTATACTGATAATTTGATATTTTAAGCGTTATATTGTTCTTATTTTAATGGAATTTAGAAACTTATGGTTTGAGATGTACTTGATTTAAACGTAATTTAATTTATTAATTTTATCTTGTTATACCTGTTTTGCTGTATGATGTATTGAATATGGGCCCATGACCGTAATAAACTATCTATCTATCTATCTATCTATCTATCTATCTATCTATCTATCTATCTATCTATGCCTTGGCCAAAGGCTTGGTGGAACGGCTGTCTTGCAGGCCCTGTGGAAAGATGTCAAGTCCCGCAGGGCCCTAGTCACTTGTGACAGAGCATTCCACCAGATCGGGGCCAGTACTGAAAAGGCCCTGGCCCTAGTTGAGACCAGCCTAACCTCCCTGTGGCCCAGGACCTCCAAGATGTTTTTGTTTGAAGACCGTAAGGTCCTCCGTGGCACATACCAGGAGAGGTGGTCCTGTCGGTACGAGGGTCCTAGGCCGTATAGGGCTTTAAAGGTTAAAACCAGACCTTATACCTGACCCTGTACCCCACCGGGAGCCAGTGCAGCTGGTAGAACACCGGGTGAATGTGATCTCGCAGCGAGGACCCCGTAAGGAGTCTCACTGCGGCAATCTGCACCCGCTGGAGTTTCTGAGTCAGCTTCAAGGGCAGCCCCACATACAGCGAGTTATAATAATCCAGTCTGGAGGTGACCGTCGCGTGGATCACAGTGGCTAGGTCAGGGCGAGAGAGGTAAGGAGCCAACTGCTTAGCTTGGCGGAGATGAAAAAACCATCAGCACACAACAGCCAGAGCATAAAGTTTTAGATTGATGGAGGTGGACTGAAATTCAGGTACCCCAGCATTTTTGCTAAACAGAGAGCCGTACGAGAACAATGATTGCAGCAGAAAGGCTTTCCTGCTCCCACGACGCTTTGTCCCTGCACTCAGTTCCTGAAGATTTCCACTCCTCCAACTCTCCTTCCAGGAGTCTGTACCCTCCACTCCTGTTTACACAAGGCTTGGGACCAAAAGGGATGGTCAAAGGAAGAGATCAATATGTCGGACAATTTGTGGAAGAGGGGAAGACCTTTGGGGATCATTTGAAAAAAAATATCATAACCAAATGAAATAGCGGGGAGGGTTTGAAACTTGAGCAACAGGAAGAAAGTGATAGTAGATGGAATAAAGGTAAAGGGACCCCTGACCATTTGGTCCAGTCATGACCGACTCTGGGGTTGCGGCGCTCATCTGGCTTTATTAGCCAAGGGAGCCGGCGTACAGCTTCCCGGTCATGTGGGCAGCATGACTAAGCCGCTTCTGGCGAACCAGAGCAGTGCACGGAAACGCCGTTTACCTTCCCGCCGGACTGGTACCTATTTATCTACTCGCACTGGTGTGCTTCCGAACTGCTAGGTGGGAAGGAGCAGGGACCGAGCAACGGGAGCTCACCCCGTCGTGGGGATTCAAACCGCCGACCTTCTGATCAGCAAGTCCTAGGCTCTGTGGTTTAACCCACAGCGCCACCTGCATCCCATAGCTTGTTTAGCTTATATGTAAATCTGGCACTGGGCACTGCACAAAGGCATGCCAGTTTGAACAACTGCGATGCTCTGAGAAATAGCCAGGCGCTATTTGCTTTCCTGCACCGATCAAGCCCAATTCACAGGTGTCGAAAGCAAAGGCTCCAAAAGGGAGCTTGCCTATTCTAGCAACTCTACGGTCCTTGCGATGCATCAGTCTCTGATGACAGACGTTGGCAGAAAGGCAGATGGTCAAGGGGGCCTTCAAAACTAGAGACCACCAACCTCAGCCTTTTCGAATGGGATCCTACCTTCTAATGGACTGATACCTTTTTGAAAGATGGGAGCAAGGAGCTGTGTCCCGCCTTGCCACCACCCTAGCAATGTACAACCTGTTTCCATGGCAGCCCTTCCAACTTAGTTCTAGAAGAGCAGGGTATTTGGAATTTAAAGCTCTCCACAGTGGGATTTCCCCTTGACTCACCACATCACTGGGGAAAGAGCAATACGTTTCCGAGCACAATTCAGAGTGTTGGTGCTGACCTTTAAAGCCCTAAACAGCCTCGGTCCTGTATACCTGAAGGAGCGTCTCCAGCCCGGACACTGAGGTCCAGCTCCGAGGGCCTTCTGGCGGTTCCCTCACTGCGAGAAGTGAGGCTACAGGGAACCAGGCAGAGGGCCTTCTCGGTGGTGACGCCCGCCCTGTGGAACACCCTCCCATCAGATGTCAAGGAAATAAACAACTGTCTGACTTTTAGAAGACATCCGAAGGCAGCCCTGTTTAGGGAAGTTTTTAATGTTTGTTGTTTTATTGTGTTTTTAATATTCTGTTGGGAGCCACCCAGAGTGTCTGTGGAAACCCAGCCAGATGGATGGGGTATAATAAATAATAAATAATAATAATTATTATTATAGTATGTGCTACCAACTTTAATGCTGAGCTTTTTGTTTGTTTTTTAAAGATATATATGCAACATGGGTTCATACTGCCTGAAGCAGCAATCTTCATTGTTTTGAGACAAGGGACCCATTTCCCCCCCAAAAAAATGCATTTGGGGGACCCATTTATTATTATTATTATTATTATTATTATTATTATTATTATTATTAATACTCTGCTCATCTAGCTGGGTTTCCCTAGCCACTCCGGGCAGCTTCCAGCACGTATAAAAACATAATAAAATGTCAAACATTTCTTAATTTCTTTGCCGTATACTTGTATGGTGTTATTGCTGCTGGTGCAAACCGCCTTAGGCCAGTCTATGACCCACCAAGTTGGAAGACCCAATGGCCTAGATCGGCCTTTCGCAAGGTTGAGTCCCCAGATATTCCTGAACTACAACTCCCATCAGCCCAAGGCATCTTGGCCCAAATTGGACCAGGGATGGTGGGGATTGTAGTCAAACAACACCTGGGGAACTAAGCTTGGAGATAGCTGCCTAGAGGACCCAATTGGCTGTAGCTTCATGCAGACGTATACGATGGCAGCCAAGGACGAGGCGTGGAAAAGACAACTGAATCCAGGCCAGTGAAAAAAGGACCGTCACGGAACCAAGAAATTACACAGAACAAAAGAAATTAGCGTGAAAATCCCTGAAACGAGAAGTAATTGACTACAGTGGTACCTCGGGTTACATACGCTTCAGGTTACAGACTACGATAACCCAGAAATATTACATCTGGTTAAGAACTTTGCTTCAGGATGAGAACAGAAATTGTGCAGCAGCAGCAGGAGGCCCCATTAGCTAAAGTGGTGCTTCAGGTTAGGAACAGTTTCAGGTTAAGAACAGACCTCCGGAACGAATTAAGTATGTAACCAGAGGTACCACTGTATAGAATAACAAAAATCAAAAAATAAACTAGAATTAAACAAAGGCTTAACGAGAAGCCGGCTACAAAACTCGTTTCACTGAACTAATCAGCTTCCTCAGAAGGAAATAAAGAAGTTATAAGATTTCAAGTGATATCAAACAAGCTCAAGAGCAGGGCTGAAAATGCTTCCTCGAGTTTACAAAGAAGGTATGAAAACCTCAATGACAAGTTTTAAACACGGCCCTATTTAAGAGAACCAAGCAGTAGTAATAAGTAATTGAGGTTTTAAAGTTTCAAACAAACTCAAAAAAACAGGGCAGAAATTCAAAAAAGTTTTAAACATCACCCTATTTAAGAGAACAAAGCAGCAGTAATAAGTAATTGAGGTTTGAAGTTTCAAGGAAACTCAAAAACAGGGCTGAGGCGCTCCTGGCTGCTGATGTTAAAGAAGGTGTTATGTACTGAAGTTCTCACCCTGGGCCAGCAGGGGATACTGTAGATAGTTATGCAAATACGGGGTCGAAAGTGACGTTCAGTGATTGGATAGTTTTAGAAAATTGTTACAGTTACATTGTACTGGAGCTCTATATAAGCAGGCTGACTGAACCCTTCAGTTCAGTTCTGTCCTGGTCTGTGAATAAATAAGAGCTGTTTGAAGAATCGCTGTGTCATCTGATATGTTCACCCACAACTTAACAAAAGGTATGAAACCTAGACAACATCTTAAAAAGTAGAGACATCACCTTGCCAACAAAGGTCCGTATAGTTAAGGCTATGGTTTTCCCAGTAGTGATGTATGGAAGTGAGAGCTGGACCATAAAGAAGGCTGATCGCCGAAGAATGGATGCTTTTGAATTCTGGTGCTGGAGGAGACTCTTGAGAGTCCCATGGACTGCAAGAAGATCCAACCTCTCCATTCTGAAGGAAATCAGCCCTGAGTGCTCACTGGAAGGACAGATCCTGAAGCTGAGGCTCCAAGACTTGGGCCACCTCATGAGAAGAGAAGACTCCCTGGAAAAGACCCTGATGTTGGGAAAGATGGAGGGCACAAGGAGAAGGGGATGACAGAGGACAAGATGGTTGGACAGTGTTCTCGAAGCTACCAGCATGAGTTTGACCAAACTGCGGGAGGCAGTGGAAGACAGGAGTGCCTGGCGTGCTCTGGTCCAGGGAGTCACAAAGAGGCGGACAAGACTAAACAACTAAACAACAACAACAACGAAACCTCAATGGCAAGTTTTAAACATAGCCCTATTTAAGAGAATCCAGCACCTACCCAACATGTTCACCCTGAGCGCGATGAGCCTCTCCTCCCAGTGAGGGCCGGGAGAGCCTTCCAGCGACGCCATGGGCTGGTCCGAGTTCAAAACCTTGAAGTAGCTGTCTAAGATGGCTCGGATCTCGACTTGGCGCTGGTCAGGGCTGCTGGCGTGGAGAACGTGGACCATTCCGACCAAGCCCTTCAGGGTCAGCTGCAGCAGTTTGGAGTCTCTGGGGGGCCCGCTGACCGGGGAACACCACCTCCGAAGCACCAGCATGAGGACCTCAACCGAGGACGGGGTGACCACCAGGAGAGCGTTTTGCTGTTGAGAAAAGCAAGCAAGACCAGCTTTCAGAGCCTGCGCTTGAGAAAGGCTGTGCTGAAGTATTTCCCACTGTGCCAAAGCAGAGCTTTCCAAAGTTTTCATGTTGCCGACACACTTTTTAGACACACGTCATTTTGGTAATTCAGTTTTATAAGCAAAAGGTAAAGGTAAAGGGACCCCTGACCATTAGGTCCAGTCGTGGCCGACTCTGGGGTTGAGGCACTCATCTCGCTTTACTGGTCATCTTCCGGGTCATGTGGCCTTCTTCTTCTTCATCCCGCTGCCCGGGAGAGGCTGTACGTGGCTATCCCATAAGCCAGGACAGCAAGAAAACAAGAAAAAAAATATTCTGAATCCCAGAAGCCAGAACAGCAAGAGGGATCTGGCTTCTGGGATAGCCGCTTGCTGTCCTGGCTTCTGCCTTAGCCGCGCGCAGCCTCTTCCAGGCAGGGGGAGCCTTCATGTGCAACATGTGCAAATGGCTTGAGATATTTTTTTTTCTTGTTTTCCTCCTCCAAAAACTAGGTGCGCCTTATGGTCTGGTGCGTCTTATAGAGCGAAAAATACGGTATGTTTCACAGGGTGCAAAAGAAGGGTTTTGCACCTTGCCTGGCAAAGAAACCACGCGCCTTGCGCCCCTCCTGTGCAATGGCCACCCACTCGCGACTCCCAAGCCTCCCCCGATCTGTCAAAACAAAGGGGGCAGGAGATCTGTACCACCGGACATCCCTGGTTCCCACTTGGCAGTGGCGGCGGCAGTAAGCAGCTCCTGAAGCCAGCCAGAGCCAACTACCAGGCTGGCTCCAGGCTGCTGAGGCTGCCGCTGCCACGTTTCCCAGGGACAGATTTGCAAATCTGGGGACTGTCCCCGGGAACGTCTGGTAACCCTAGCATAACTGTACCACCAGCAGAGGGTCTCTACTTCCTGGGCTCCTCCAGAAGACAGAGCCTGGAATTTCACAGAGAGGAAAGCTTGCCTTGGCTCCAGAGACGATGGCGCCGAAGAGATGGATCAGTCGCACCTGAAGGACCTCAGGAAGCTGCTCGCCCTCTTGGAAGCACTCTAGCGAAGGAGGCAAGAGAGAAAGGCGTTTTGGATGGGGAAGAAATACATGGGAAAACAAAAAGGAACAACTCTGAGCAGTGCTCGGTTTGTAACACAGAACACAAGTGCTTGCTCTCATTTTGGAAAGATAACCTGTATCCACCCCGATCGTTTCCACCCCGATCATTCAGCCCGGACACTGAGATCCAGCACTGAGGGCCTTCTGGCGGTTCCCTCATTGCGAGAAGTGAGGTTTCAGGGAACCAGGCAGAGGGCCTTCTTGGTAGTGGCACCCGCCCTGTGGAACGCCCTCCCACCAGATGTCATGGAAATAAGCAGCTATCTTATTTTTAAAAGACATCTGAAGGCAGCCCTGTTCAGATAAGTTTTTAAATATTTAACGCTGTATTTTTTTATTACTTGATTGGGAGCCGCCTAGAGTGGCTGGGGAAACTCAGCCAGATGGGCGGGGTATAAATAAATTATTATTATTATTATTATTATTATTATTATTATTATTATTATTTATTATTACTATCCATATTCTGAAAATAAAAAGATAAGTTATTTTAATGCTATACTGTGTGGAAGACAGTGATGGTATAGTGGGCCCAGGATTTAGGGGGAAATATTATGATGAGCCAATGGGAACTGCTGTGGAAAAGAGATATCAAATTTACGGCATGCTATAATTTAAGAGAGAATGTAATGAAAATACCATACAGATGGTACCTGACCTCGGTCAGACTGATAAAAACTGTAGTGATGTCTGATGGTGATGCAACAATGGGGCTGGAACATTTCTACATATGTGGTGGGAGTGCAAAGAGATCGTGGGATTCTGGGATAATATCTATAACGAACTGGAAAAGATGTTTAGATTTTCATTTGGGGGGGAAAACCAGAATCCTTTCTCCTAGGTATCGTGTCAGAGGAAATAAAAAGAGCGTTCAGACCAATATTTATGTATGCAACTAGGGCGGCAAGGTCATCGATTGCCAAAAATTGGAAAAGCAGCAGCGTCCCAACTAAAACAGACTGGTTATCTAGAATGATGGAATACTTCCATATTGCCGAACTAACAGGGAGGATAAGAGGAGATATGGTACAAAAAGTGAATGGGCTATCTTTAAGGAATGCATCAAAATTTATGTGGAAAAAGTAGAATTTCTGGCAGATATTGAGTGGATCCAGACAATGATTAGAGTGAAAGGAGAGTAAAGTCAAAATAGAAGAAGAGATTAAAGAAATAATGTTAATGTCGCAGAACTGCAGAGCTGGAAGAGATCCCATGGGTCATCTAGTCCATGGGTAGGCAAACTAAGATCTGGGGGCTAGATATGGCCCAATCGCCTTCTAAATCCGGCCCATGGATTCAGCATGTTTTTACATGAGTAGAATGTGTCCTTTTATTTAAAATGCATCTCTGGGTTATTTGTGGGGCCTGCCTGGTGTTTTCACATGAGTAGAATGTGTGCTTTTATTTAAAATGCACCTCTGGGTTATTTGTGGGGCATAGGAATTTGTTCACCATTTTTTCCAAAATATAGTCTGGCCCCCCGCAATCACATGGCTGCACCCAAAATGACCCAAATAGCTCAGAGAAATCCCCCACTGGCAGCCAAAGCCAGTCGATGTGAGTGCCTTGCAGTTTGCAGGCACCTGGCAAGGGGGGAAAAAACCCCTGAAAACTCCTAGGGAGTTTTTTATAGATACAAAAATAAAAAAATCAGAAATCTGCCAACAGTTTCTGCAAATCCGTTCCCCTGAACTAATTTGATGCTTTTTGAAGAAGAGCCTCTTGACAAACCAGCGGCAAAGACCTTCCTTCTCACGGAGATCAGCCCAGCATTTATTGACTGTGATCCCTTCAGCAGCCCAGAGGATAAATAAAAACCAACAAAAGGAGATAAATTAAATTTAGATCAGCGGGGAAGGGGAGAGATAATGGCACTTTAAATGCCTGGAATTGGTGGGTGGGGGGGATTACATCTCCCTTGCTTTTTTTAAAATAAAAATAAATAGTTACTCATAGATGCCCTTATTTTTCTTTCAGTTTGCATAGATGCTCCCCCACTTTAGAGCTGACATGTGAATCTAATACATATCTTGGCAGGAGAAAAGGCTGACCATGCAAACCGGCGGGGATATCTGGTCTCCCAGGGTAGAAGAAAGTCACTTAATGCAGATTAATTGCTCTTTAATCACTCTTAAAAAAATTGGCAGGCGTAAGATGGTTGCCCTCAGCACTCTGGAAAACAGGCTTACTGGGAGAGAGGCGACTGGGAATGTCGTTTGCGGGCAGAAGGGGCAGTTGACTCGGAACCTGTTTATTTTTAAGCATTAGGTCCAGTCGTGACCGACTCTGGGGTTGTGGCGCTCATCTCGTTTTATTGGCCGAGGGAGCCGGCGTACAGCTTCCGGGTCATGTGACCAGCAGGACTAAGCCGCTTCTGGCGAACCAGAGCAGCACATGGAAACGCCATTTACCTTCCCGCCGGAGCGGTACCTATTTATCTACTTGCACTGGTGTGATTTCGAACTGCTAGGTGGGCAGGAGCAGGGACCGAGCAACAGGAGCTCACCCTGTCGAGGGGATTTGAACCGCCGACCAGCTGTAACCCGAGGTATGACTATACACAAGTGAACATGAAGCTCAATTCCCCTTAAGATTTGCTTCCTGTCCAAACAACACTCAGCCTCCATCACACTCTTGTGAACAGTGAATATTGTGAATTTTGTTCCTCGTATGAACCAGCAACTTTGATCTCTTATTTCGCACATTTTTTTCCTGATTTTGTTAACCACAGGAAGGACTGGGGAGGTAAACAGGGCAACCAAAGCTGTATCGCACAATCCCCGGAAAGCTTAGTTAGCCTGTCTTCTGAAATTTCTATCGCCCATGAGGCCTAGGAACTTGCTTAGCAGTGGCTGTTTTTAAATGAATGCGAAAAATCTGTGGAAAGGACCTGGCTCTGCTTTCTTGGCTTGTTTGTGTGTGTGCAATAGATCAATTTAGAAGCTGCCCCGATAAAACCAGCACTCGTGGTTTGTTTCCTGGTCTGCACACAATGCAAAAAGTCAACTTCCGGTTTGTTTCTTCCCTGGCACGACAGAACTCTGAATGAGTGGATCAGGAAAACTTCGGTGTTGCAAACACCTGGATCGGTTGTGTTAAGGTGAGTTGTGCATGGACAGCGGGATAGGCGGTGAACAGGAAAACAGTGGTACAGTGGTACCTTGGGTTACATACGCTTCAGGTTACATACGCTTGAGGTTACAGACTCCGCTAACCCAGAAATAGTACCTCAGGTTAAGAACTTTGCTTCAGGATAAGAACAGAAATTGTGCTCTGGTGGCGCGGCAGCAGCAGGGGGCCCCATTAGATAAAGTGGTGCTTCAGGTTAAGAACAGTTTCAGGTTAAGAACGGACCTCCAGAATGAATTAAGTACTTAACCCGAGTTACCACTGTACTTTGGTTCTCAAACGCTTTGGTTCTCCAACTCTGAAAACCCAGAAGTCAGCATTCCGATTTTCAAACGTTTTTCGGGCAGCCGAACATCCATTGCAGCTGTCGGCTATTGTTTCCGGGGCACCTGCACCAATCAGAAGCTGTGCCTTGGTCTTTGAACATTTCGGAAGTCAAACGGACTTCGGGAACTGATTAAGTTTGGTGCTTTTGTTTTTGCTATTCATTTTGTCTTTTTGTTTTTGAGGTTTTTTCCAATTAATTTGTTTTTGTGACTGTGTGGAACCCACTTCAGCTACTGATTGATTGATTGTGTGACTGCAGAAATGGACAAAAGCCCCCCATACAAACAAGGGACTATCATCTGTGCAGGTAAGAAAAAAAATATTATTTTAATTTTTATCACCTACAAAACTGTCTTATTTATTTTATAGTACAGTCCATTGATTATTGCTTTCATTTTATGGCTCAGTGGTCTCGTTAGATATTAAAATTCATGTGAAATTGCTGTTTTAGGGGTTGTTTTCAAAAGTCTGGAACAGATTAATCCATTGTGTATTGCTTTCTATAGGAAAGCGCACCTTGGTTTTGGAACGCTTTGGTTTTGGAACGGACTTCCAGAACGGATTAAGCTTGAGAAGCAAGGTACCACTCAAGGTTCTTGAGTGGAAAAACCCAGGAAGGCCGTGATGGTGGGGAGAGAGCGAAACTGAAGTATTTACCTTGGAAAAACGAGTTGAACTCCTGAGGCAACACAGCTGGCGCAAACTTGTATTTGCTCTTCTCTTTCATGCTGACGATCTCCCTAGGAGAGGCGAGAAATGCAGAGGGGCATGAGAAAGGTTTTGTAGACGAAGGAGGCAGCTTTCACACAGGGTGGTACAACACAACACAAGCACAAACGCCAGTGAGAAGCGTTCCTTTAGTTAGGACTCCCTGGTCCTGAATGGGGTAACTGTGCCCCTGAAGGACCAGGTGTGCAGCCTGGGAGTCATTTTGGACTCACAGCTGTCCATGGAGGTGCAGGTTCATTCATTCATTCATTCATTCATTCATTATAGAAAATTCTTATAACTATCAATAATCAGCTAACATTCCATTCCGTCTCTTGTACGAGAGGACGGCTGTTAGGAATTTAGCAACCTGTAGGGTAATATAAGGATCCACATCTTGAAGAACCCAGGCAAGCTGTAGGTCTACTGATTTGTCAGCCATAGGCTGGATTATGGAGTTTAGTATACTAGCACGGGCTGAACTGTACAAAGGGCAGATAAACATAACATGATGTAGAGATTCAGATGTTTTCATTTCACACGCACACGTTGAAGGGACTTGGCCCTTAGTGAATCTATGTCTCAGCACGTTTGTTGGAAAGACATTAAACCTAGCTCTAATGAAGGCATATCGGTGAGACGCGGCCATAAGCGATGTTAAGTAGGACGGAGCGCGGTAGATAGGGGTTATGCCGAAATTTAACGGCGAGCAGACTCCACCACCAGCTACGAAATTTTGGTATAGCTCCGCATCATCCAGCCTTTGATTTATACACCTTTTTGTCACATTTAGATCCAGTTTGAGCAATTCAGTGGGCGAGATCTCATAGGACAGCAATTTGGCATGGATTTTTCCTGACCACAAATTTGTGAAGTCATCTCGCCACATGCATTGAATGAGATAGTGGTTCGGGAGTTTATGCCATAGGGATATCCAATAAATCAAAACTCTCCTCCATATAACTAACTCCACTGAGGGGATCTTCATTTCTAAGGATGAGACCCTCCCTGCCCGCGGACTGTCTTGCCAGAGTGGTGCATGCTCTGGTTATCTCCCGCTTGGACTACTGCATGCGCTCTACGTGGGGCTACCTTTGAAGGTGACCCGGAAACTACAACTAATCCAGAATGCGGCAGCTAGACTGGTGACTGGAAGTGGCCACCAAGACCATATAACACCAGTCTTGAAAGACCTACATTGGCTCCCAGTACGTTTCCAAGCACAATTCAAAGTGTTGGTGTTGACTTTTAAAGCCCTAAACAGCCTCGGCCCAGAATACCTGAAGGAGCGTCTCCACCCCCATTGTTCAGCCCGGACACTGAGGTCCAGCGCCAAGGGCCTTCTGGCAGTTCCCTCATTGCGAGAAGTGAGGTTACAGGGAACCAGGCAGAGGGCCTTCTTGGTAGTGGCACCCGCCCTGTGGAACGCCCTCCCACCAGATGTCAAAGAGAACAACAACTACCAGACTTTTAGAAGACATCTGAAGGCAGCCCTCTTTAGGGAAGCTTTTAATGTTTAACAGACCACTGTATTTTAATATTTTGTTGGAAGCCGCCCAGGGTGGCTGGGGAGACCCAGCCAGATGGGCGGGGTATAAATAATAAATTATTATTATTATAGGGGTTGCAGGAGGAGTTAGGAACACGGGAAACTGCTTTATCCAGAATCAGGACAACTGGTCTACCCGAGGGCTCACCAACACTTCCCCATGTCCCCACTGCTTCATCCCAGGAGGAAAACCCTCTTCAAAGCTGTGGGATGTGATACATAAGTAGCAGTCAAGTACAACATTCCTTGTTTTCCTAGAGTGGACATGCAGGGGAATGTCTGGTCCAGCCAGTCGAAAACTTCCTGTATCCTCCTGGCCTGGAGCATCCTTCCTTTAGCATGTGACTAGAGGTGGGCGTGACCTTACCTGCCCAGGTAACAAAAGGGACAAGGCACACAGCACTCTCCTTTTTGACTCCCTCCATTGTTGGAGCAGCTTTTGAGGGAGCTGTTTGTTGGAGCCGTTTAAGGAAGCTTTTAATGTTTGACGGACTACAGTCATACCTCATGTTACGGACGCTTCAGGTTACGTCTTTTCAGGTTGTGTCCCGCGGCGACCCGGAAGTACCGGAAAGGGTTACTTTTGGGTTTCGCCGCTTGCACCTGCGCAGAAGCACTAAATCGCGCAGCGCACCTGCGCAGATATGGTGCTTCAGCTTGTGCTCTTTTCAGGTTGCGAATGGGCCTCCGGAACGGATCCTGTTCGCAACCAGAGGTACCACTGTATTGTATTTCAATATTTTGTTGGAAGCTGCCCAGAGTGGCTAGGGAAACCCAGCCAGATGGGTAAAGGGACCCCTGACCATTAGGTCCAGTCGTGGCTGACTCTGGGGTTGCAGCGCTCATCTCACTTTATTGGCTGAGGGAGCCGGTGTACAGCTTCTGGGTCCTGTGGCCAGCATGACTAAACCGCTTCTGGAGAACCAGAGCAGTGCATGGAAACGCCGTTTACCTTCCTGCCAGAGCGGTACCTATTTATCTACTTGCACTTTGACGTCCTTTCAAACTGCTAGGTTGGCAGGAGCAGGGACCGAGAAATGGGAGCTCACCTCGTCGCGAGGATTCGAACCACCGACCTTCTGATCGGCAATTCCTAGGCTCTGTGGTTTAACCCACAGCGCCACCCGCGTCCAGAGTGCCCAGAGTGGCTAGGAAAACCCAGCCAGATGGGTAGGGTATAAATAATAAATTATTATTATTATTATTATTATTATCATCATCATCATCATCATCATCATCATCCCGTACAGGGATCGAACCTGCAACCTTGGCGTTATCGTCACTGTGCTCTTGCCAACTCAGCTGGGTGAAGGCGAACCAGAGGACGCTGCTGTTTGTGCCCACCCTGTGATTGACCTGTCTCCTTGACAGATCCTTGACACTTGGTTCCCTACCGGCTGGTTTCCTAACCAGAAATGCCAGCAGCTGAACCCGGGAGCTCCAGCGTGAAAACGGCTGAGCTGCCACGGACTTCCAGCCCCGTCCCCAGTCGCAACCCCGACTCTCGCCGTTCCATGCGTCTGCAATCACCCCGCGCAGGAATGGATTTTGGCAGCCGGCCCAAAAACCTGAGCCCACGAATCGCGGCAGCCGCTCTCCTGCTGCCGGCCGCAAGCCAGCGCTTCATTGATTTCCCAGTAAAATTAAGTGCACTTGATTAATGGAAGGTATAAACAAACCGAAGCTTTTGTTTTAACAGCCCTGCTTGGCATTCTCTGCCTGCCCCAAGGGAAATGGGCATTTTCAGATCTCAAGAGCGCCTTCAAACCGTAAACACTGAAATGCCTTTCTCCGGCTTCGTGGCAAGACCCCAGAGAAACTGCATAATCAGCCTGGCAGCCTCCTTTGGGAAGCATTTAATTTAATTTTTAATTTGTACACTGCCTTTCTACATCACACTAGGCAGTTTACAAGCCGACGAAACAACAAGGATCACACACACCTTATAACTATCCGATCCAATACAAAAAAAAGTCATAACACAACTTTAAAATAAACAACTTATTTCAAATAAAGTGGACGCTCAGGTTGCGAACGTGATCCGTGCGGGATGCATGTTCGCAACCTGCAGCGGCGCGTCTGCACACATGTGGGTTGCAATTTGGCACTTCTGTGCATGCGCAAAGCACAACTTAGCACCCCTGCGCATGCGCGGTCGCCGAAACCCGGAAGTAACCCGTTCCGGTACTTCCGGGTTTTGGCGGTCTGCAACCTGAAAAAACGCAACCTGAAGCGTCTGTAACCCGAGGTATGACTGTAAAGTAACCCTCAATAATCAATCAGAATGTAACGGTGCACAATGAAATTAAATATCAGCAAACAATCAGTAACAGGAAGTCAATTGCAATAAATTACTAATCTATTAACAATAAAAATAGCATTGAGTCACAAGGCGTAAAATACCACAACGCATAGAGAACCATGTAAGAGGTTCAAACAGCGAAACAAAGGTACTTTAAAAATTGTTGTTTTTTTAAATCCCGGAATTCCTCTTCTCTCGGTTTGGCAGCTGAGCAGCACCAGACCCCCAAGTGATAACCCCAAGGTTGCAGCTATCCTGGAGAAGAGGAGGTTAAGGGGTGATATGATAGCCATGTTCAAATATATAAAAGGATGTCACATAGAGGAGGGAGAAAGGTTGTTTTCTGCTGCTCCAGAGAAGCGGACACGGAGCAATGGATCCAAACTACAAGAAAGAAGATTCCACCTAGAATCATAGAATCATAGAATCATAGAGTTGGAAGAGACCACAAGGGCCATCGAGTCCAACCCCCTGCCAAGCAGGAAACACCATCAGAGCACTCCTGACATATGGTTGTCAAGCCTCTGCTTAAAGACCTCCAAAGCAGGAGACTCCACCACACTCCTTGGCAGCAAATTCCACTCTCGAACAGCTCTTACTGTCAGGAAGTTCTTCCTAATGTTTAGGTGGAATCTTCTTTCTTGTAGTTTGGATCCATTGCTCCGTGTCCGCTTCTCTGGAGCAGCAGAAAACAGCCTTTCTCCCTCCTCTATGTGACATCCTTTTATATATTTGTACATGGCTATCATATCACCCCTTAACCTCCTCTTCTCCAGGCTAAACATGCCCAGCTCCCTTAGCCGTTCCTCATAAGGCATCGTTTCCAGGCCTTTGACCATTTTGGTTGCCCTCCTCTGGACACGTTCGAGTTTGTCAGTGTCCTTCTTGAACTGTGGTGCCCAGAACTGGACACAGTACTCCAGGTGAGGTCTGACCAGAGCAGAATATAGTGGCACTATTACTTCCCTTGATCTAGATGCTATACTCCTATTGATGAGGCCCAGAATTGCATTGGCTTTTTTAGCTGCCGCGTCACATTGTTGGCTCATGTCAAGTTTGTGGTCAACCAAGACTCCTAGATCCTTTACATTACATTACATTTTACATTACATTACATTTTACATCCTAAACATTAGGAAGAACTTCCTGACAGTAAGAGCTGTTTGACAGTGGAATTTGCTGCCAAGGAGTGTGGTGGAGTCTCCTTCTTTGGAGGTCTTTAAGCAGAGGCTTGACAACCATATGTCAGGAGTGCTCTGATGGTGTTTTCTGCTTGGCAGGGGGTTGGACTCGATGGCCCTTGTGGTCTCTTCCAACTCTATGATTCTATTCTATGATTCTAGAAGTCACCAGATCCTGGTTTAATGTCTGACCTGCCTGCCATTGGCCAAAGCCTCCTTCCTGACATGCAAGGTCTAAACCCAGAGCAGGGAACCGTTGGCCCTCCAGGTGATGCTGAACTACAACTCCCATCAGCCCTAGCAGGCATGGCTAGTGGTCAGGGATGATGGGAGTTGTAGTTCGGCAGAATCAGCCTGCACAGCTCAGTCGGCTAGAGCATGGTGCCAATAACGCAGAGTGGATAAAAATCAATGAATTTTTTGTAATCGTTTTTTAAATTTAAATTGGATTTTTAAAATAAAATGCATTTGGAGGAAAAATCTTTCTAAAGATAGTTTTCTGTTTAAGTTACATTTTAGTCCAAAGGCTATTCATCAGGAAACGAGGATTTCTTTAATGTTTTTCATGCGTGATAAAACTCAGTCTAAGTTTGTTTTTTAAGTGTTTAACCACATCAGTTAACAAACATGGATACATATGCTATAATGTTATTGTTTTAGTTAAATAAATTGCTTAAATTGTTATTAAGGAAATGATTGTTTTTCTCCTTCCAATGAAGTTCAGCCGAAAAGTTGTCCAAATATAAACAGTTAACTTATTGAACCTCACCACAATTTCATAATTATCTCTCTGTGTATTTCTAATAGTATAACCAAATCAATAATTTTTGATGTAACTGTAAAAACTACTCTGAAAGTTTATCATTCCAAAAATGAAACCTTCCCTCTGGTTGTAAATATTACGATACCAGCAAGAATGAGTCTTTCTGTAAGAAAATGATTTAAATCAAGTCTTACGGACTAGTGATTTAAATTGTAATTTAAATCGATTTGATGTAAATCAAATCCACTCTGCAATCACGCCAAGGTTGCAGGTTCGATCTGGGTATTCCTGCATTGCAGTGGGTTGGACTAGATGACTCTGGAGGTCCCTTCCAACTCTTACGATTCTATGATCCAGTGGATCCCCATACCGGTTGTACAATGCACTCACCCGCTCAGCTGCCTCCTCCACGTCTGGTAGGGATCAAAGAGGCATTCATAGAGGTGCAACACGTAGAGAGTTACGTTCTCCAGCTGACTCCGGTAACGCAAATTCTGTCCCTGGGCGTTCTTGAGCTGCCAAGGACAAGCAGCTCGGTTAATCTCCAGATTGCGAGGTCCCCCCCCCCTTCCTTTCTTGTTCTGGAGAAAGCTTTTTCTCCAACCCAACAGCTAGCCGAAATACATTCGTGTCATTAAGCGTGCTTTTGAAGATGTGAAAAGAACCCTGGGCACTCATTCAATTCACCTGATAAAAAGGCCAAGAGAGCCATGAGAGGAAAGGAAAAAAGACCGGGCGGGGCGGAGGAAAACGAGCGTGCAACTTGAGGCCTGCTCCAAAAGGAAAACCTCCGTCCGAGAGGTCACCTCGGGGCGTTGTTCTGTGCATTGCAACAATGATCGGAAGGGGGTTTGTAAATTAAGCGAGTATATAGAATTGGCAAAATTGACTTCAGTTATAAGGCATCAATCAAATCAAAAGTTAAGAATGGAGTGGAAGTACTTCGATGATGATGTGTCAAAATATTGTTCTAAAAATAACATGTTAAGAGGCTTAGAATGAAAAATGTAAGCAGTAACAGAACAAATAAAGAAAGAAGGAAAAATCAGAATTTAACAGAAATAATTGCAAGGGGGGGGCAAGGTAGAAAGAAATATACAGAAATCGAATTGCTGTGGAGGGAAGCAGAGGGTGGCTGGTGGGTTTTATAATTCAGTGTATAATTATGCAACTGTTGTAATTTAGATATTATATTTTATGCGAGGGAATCATTGGGAATTTTGGTTATTATGTATATATGTTAAGATTCAATAAAGACCTTTGAAAATTAAAAATTTAAAAAAAACAATGATCGGAAGGGGACCAAGGATGCACGTTGAAAGGGATTAACCACTTGGCTCTATCATGTTTCTAGTCCATATTGTTTCTGCCCTGTACTCGTCCAATGGATGTAGCAAGCAACCGGGAAAAGGGAAAGAGGAAAGGAGGCCGTTAAGGGTGGAATGAGATGCTGGCGGTCAAATAATGCATGCATGTTGCTCCTGTATATAACTTGAAGCAAGCCCTGTCTCTTCCCCATCATCAAATCCATCATTCTTCCCCTTAAGGACTCTGAGCTAGGTATGTGAATTTCATCACCTAACTTGAACCACTTGCTAACTCCTCGGTTCCTAGGAATTTGAAGCATCCAGCCCCGCCGAACACAGAGGGCGAGGAATTTGAGCTTACCTTCTTCGAGTAAGCAGACAGCAAACTGGTCACCTCGTGAATAAACACCGGGGGCCGGTCAGTTTGGACGTTTTCAAGATTCCTGCAAAGAAGCAATAGGGGAGGGATGAGAAACAGTCCAACAACCACAAAGTCCTTTGTCATCTGCAGCCGCCGGAGACCCAAGCCAGCTAATTTCTTCACATGCATGCTAATGCGCTGCAAAAGAGAGATAATGGTAATATTTATTATGTATGAAGCACCTCACACTAGGCGGTAATGAGAGAGCGAGTGAGTTGGCAAAGAGGAGGAGGGGCGGCTGTCCTGCTAATATTTCAGATGCAGAAATTTGCATATAAATTAAGCTGTGAGCCTGAGTGCACAGCCCATGAATTTACGACAGCCAATTTTCTAGCCCTCAAGATCTAGGAAAATTGGAGGTGCTCTTTTTGCAAACGGCGTCCGGTACTCCGGACAGTCGGTTCTGCCTTTCTCTCGTTCATAGCTGTCAACTTACATATTTGAAAATAAGGGACCAGCAGCCTCGAAAATAAGGGATCAGCAGCCAAAATAAGGGATTTTGCTTAGCTTATACAGAAATCCGGCACTGATGGAGCCAGGCTGCTTTTGTTGCCACTGACTGTGTTTTGCAGGGGGTTGGACTAGATGTAGACTAAGGGTCTACAACTCCCACCAAAGAAGAGTGGCAGACAAAGCTGATGAACGACGTCGAGATGGCAAAGCTTACAGGCAGAATTAGAAACCAGGAAGAGGACCTCTTTAATAAAGAATGGGAAAGTTTATAATTTAGTTGAAAAGCTGTTGTAAAGAGTTACATACATTGGTAGGACTGACAGAAAAGTTGTAGTAAAAATTTGAACTATGGATGGACAAATGATTTATAAAAATAGAGTTATGAAAGGGATGCAGAGGGGGAAATCACTACATTAAGATGCTGCACTGGTTGGAGGGGATGCTAAGCAGCACGTCGGGGCTGCCATCGTCCTGGAGCGAGGAGTTCCATCGGCACTTCCCCGCCCGAGAGGGAGGGAGGGAGGGAGACTCTCGCTCACGCCGCCCGCGAGCCCAGCATGAGGAAGTTGTGGTGCTGCCACGGCCACCGAAGCGCCGCCCTTCTGCGTCCCTCCCCATCCCCTCCTCTTCCTCCTCCCTCAGGCTACCTCCTCAGCCGCCTCCGGCATCCCCTGGCAGCGTGGCGGAAGTCTTGCAAGAGAGGGGCTGCCTGCCCGCCCGCTGCCACCCGTCTCCTCACGACGTGCCCTTGAGGGGGAAAAGGGAGAGACGGAGACGCGGCAGCTCATGCGTGCGCGCTCTCGCGCAGCGGAGGACCCCGAGCCGCTGCTTCCCTCCCGAGCCGGGCGAGCATGAAACCCGGGAAATTTAAGGGACATCGTCAATAAGGGACAGCAGCAGGACACTGGGATAAGGGAGTTTCCCGCCAAATAAGGGACGGTTGACAGCTACGCTCTCGTTCCATCACATCCCCTTCCATCAATACAACGCAGAGTCGAAAATACGTAACAAGTTTGCATGATGACAAGGCTGCAAAACAGGAGAGCAATTTTCTCCATGGGATCATGCTGCTGCTCAAAGGGAAATAATGTTTGTGCATGCATGTTAATATCAAGATACGACTATGCAGAATTAGGTAAATTAACAGGAAGGATTTGAAACCTGCGGGATCAGAGATTCTTAGAGGACTGGAGTAAATATATGAAGTATTTGAAAAATAATTGTGATGAACAGATTACGCTAGTAGGTTTGCAAGAAGTTTTGTAAGGTGGATTATTTGAAATGTTACAAGAAAGACTATGAAAGGAATTATCAGTTAAGGACAATTGAATGCAATATAGAAATTAAAAAATGCAGAATAAGTGATAAAGAATGGAAAATCATCAGAGGTGCTGACGGAAGTCTAAAATATCGTATAAGTTGAGAAGGTATGTTGTATGACTGTTGGAACTGGTTTGTTAAAAAACCAATAAAAATGTATATACATATCCCGTATTTTTTGCTCTATAAGACTCACTTTTTCCCTCCTAAAAAGCAAGGGGAAATGTGTGTGCGTCTTATGGAGCGAATGCAGGCTGCACAACTATCCCAGAAGCCAGAGCAGCAAGAGGGATTGCTGCTTTCACTGTGCAGCGATCCCTCTTGCTGTTCTGGCTTCTGAGATTCAGAATATATATTTTTTTCTTGTTTTCCTCCTCCAAAGACTAGGTACGTCTTGTGGTCTGGTGCGTCTTACAGAGCGAAAAATATGGTATATATTAAAAAATCAAGATCAACAAACACACACAGAAGGCAAATGGGTCCATGATTCAGTTCTTGGTTCTGTTCCCGCCGGAGAGAAAATTACTGGAGCTGCTTTCGCTTAAACCACCCTCTTCAATACGGACGGGGCAACTGCTCCCTCCAGCCCAAAAACCCTAAATATATTTAAGCTGAATGCTGAGGAAATACTCAAAATCCCCCACGGAAACCCCCCAAAATGCCAGCCCGAAAATTCCCCCAAGCCTAACGTTGAAGCACACTCAATTTGAACACAGCTGTTTTTCACACAGGGGACTCCCCACAGCCTGGGTTCAGTTTTACACAAACTCATAGGCAGCGCAGTCCTCTTTGGGGTTGTCACCTTTTCCCTAGCTGGGCTCCTGCACTTTTCAGTAGGTGAAGTTTCCCCCCAATAAGAGAGAAAAGCTTTTTCAAGGGACAAGAGCCCTGCTGAGGAAGAGAACAACCCGAAACCCTATAGCCTGACGCTCACAACCTGCATAGCTCAGTTGGGTTGCAGGTTCGATACCCGGATGGGACAACTTCATATTCCTGCACAGAGTGGATAAAAATCAACTCAAGATAAGCGGATGCGGGTTTAACCTATTTTCTCGCGTGCACAGAAGAAAACATCTCCCCTTGGCCTGGTCCACACGAAAAAAAAGTCACGAAGAAAACGGTCTGTCTATGTCTTGCCCCTAAAGTGGTGGGTGGGGGGGTGGGGGGGTCTGAGTGGGCACAACCGGTTAGTCTGGCCTTGGCTGGAAGCACTGAGCCATTATTCCGCACAGGCAAATCTCCGCTCCTGACTCACGTCCAAATTGCCTGTACCGGGCACAATTCCAGAGAGTGCCAGTCACCCAGGGCAGCTTAGCAAAGAGGTTTGTTTCATTGAGGATGCTGCAGAGGTCCAGAAAGGGCAGGTGTGCAAAAAACAAAGAACCCCCCCCCCACCTTTCTCAAAGTCCACCGCAGGCCTACTTCAAAGGCATTCTTGGCCCCTCTATTAATAAAGGCACTTCCAGCCAAGACCCTTCTCCTGGGGAATTTCATTTCAGGCCTCTGCCGGCCACCCGGAGGGGATTTTGTAACTGTGCGAGAAGAGCAATTATCAGCTGGTCCTTATCTCGGGCTCGCAGACCTCACAGGAAGACAGAGCATGGCTTTGCAGCACACCAGACCCAGAATAGCCCAGGGTTATGTGTGTGTGTGTGTGTTTTTTTTTAAGAGAGGGGGAGCCAGGGAAGCAGAGAAGCAGATCTTCAGCGGCAACAGAGCGGCTGGAGGCGGGCTGGGCCAGGAGGGAGGAAGGAAAGGGAGTTTCGATAGCAGAGCGATAGCTGGTTATTGCAAAGGGACGGCCCAGGCTCTGAGCTGCTGGAAACCAAAGCGGGCGAGGAGCCAGAAAAGGCCGATTCGGGGCAGGACAGCTTGGTGGGACAAATCAGTTTTATGCTGTCTCTTCCTCTGAGGCATTAGGAGGGTGCAGAGTGCAGCACCCTTTGTACAGTGGTACCTCAGGTTAAGAACTTTCTTCGTCCTGGAGGTCTGTTCTTACCCTGAAACTGTTCTTAACCCGAGGTACCACTTTAGCTAATGGGGCCTCCCGCTGCTGCTGTGCAATTCCTGTTCTCATCCTGAAGCAAAGTTCTTAACCGAGGTACTATTTCTGGGTTAGCGGAGTCTGTAACCTGAAGCGTTTGTAACCCAAGGTGTTGTTGCTGTTTAGTCGTTTAGTCGTGTCCGACTCTTCATGACTCCCTGGACCAGAGCACGCCAGGCACTCCTGTCTTCCACTGCCTCCCGCAGTTTGGTCAAACTCATGCTGGTAGCTTCGAGAACACTGTCCAACCATCTTGTCCTCTGTCGTCCCCTTCTCCTTGTGCCCTCCATCTTCCCCAACATCAGGGTCTTTCCCAGGGAGTCTTCTCTTCTCATGAGGTGTCCCCTCATGAGGTAAAAGGTAAAGGGACCCCTGACCATTAGGTCCAGTCGTGACCGACTCTGGGGTTGCGGCGCTCATCTTGCTTTATTGGCCAAGGGAGCCGGCGTACATTTTCTGGGTCATGTGGCCAGCATAACTAAGCCGCTTCTGGCGAGCCAGAGCAGCGCACGGAAACACCGTTTACCTTCCCACTGGAGCGGTACCTATTTATCTACTTTCACTTTGACGTGCTTTCGAACTGCTAGGTTGGCAGGAGCAGGGACTGACCAACGGGAGCTCACCCATCACAGGGATTCAGACCGCCGACCTTCTGATCGGCAAGTCCTAGGCTCTGTGGTTTAACCCACAGCGCCACCCGTGTCCCTAGGGATGCAGGTAGACTGCCTCTAAACGGGAGGTTCCATCAATTTGTGTGTTAAAGCAACAGTGCCGTATTTACCTATAAGCTAAACAAGCTATAGCTTAGGGCCGCATCTCTCTGCAATTCAATAAAGTATTTTTAATAAATAAATAAAATAAAAGTCAGAAGATGAGAAGCAGCGCTAACCAGAGTCCAAAAACGAGGAGGAATAACGACGCCTACCTGCAAATGATGATGAAGAACTTGATCAGCAAGAGGGCCTGGTTGAGGCCTGCCTCAGCCACCTCCTGGCGGGAGATCTGGTTCACACAAGACGTCAGCTGCTGGGTCAGGGTCTGCAGGACGTCGCAGGGGAGCAGCGGGATCTCGGAGACAGAGTCCTCCGGCCTGCAAGAAAAGGACATAAAAAAAAGGTTTCCAAACTCCCCTCCGTGGAAATCAGCCCTCGAGAACATCGCTCCCTTCCGAAGTTACCCAGGTGGGTAAAACTGGCTTAGCCCACGACGCCATGGGCTCTCTCTGCCAAATCTGCTCCAGAGGAGTGTTGTGATGCTATAAGGAGAAAATGCTACACTCCCTGGCAGAAGAATGTACAAAAATGGGATTAACAGGCAAGACTTCTTCCAAGGCATCTGGGTAGTTGAAAAAGAGATGTTGCTGTTATTGTTATTGTTATTGTTATTGTTATTATCATCATCACCACCTCAGATGGTGACAGCAGTCACGAAATTAAAAGACGCCTGCTTCTTGGGAGAAAAGCAATGACAAACGTAGACAGCATCTTAAAAAGCAGAGACATCACCTTGCCAACAAAGGTCCGTATAGTGAAAGCTATGGTTTTCCCAGTAGTGATGTATGGAAGTGAGAGCTGGACCATCAAGAAGGCTGATCGCCGAAGAATTGATGCTTTTGAATTATGGTGCTGGAGGAGACTCTTGAGAGTCCCATGGACTGCAAGAAGATCAAACCTCTTCATTCTGAAGGAAATCAGCCCTGAGTGCTCACTGGAAGGACAGATCTTGAAGCTGAGGCTCCAATACTTTGGCCACCTCAGGAGAAGAGAAGACTCCCTGGAAAAGACCCTGATGTTGGGAAAGATGGAGGGCACAAGGAGAAGGGGACGACGGAGGACGAGATGGTGGGACAGTGTTCTGGAAGCTACCAGCATGAGTTTGACCAAACTGCGGGAGGCAGTGGAAGACAGGAGTGCCTGGCGTGCTCTGGTCCAGGGGGTCATGAAGAGGCGGACACGACTAAACAACAACAAAATGATAATATACCACCCTTCATCCATAGATCTCATGGCAGTTTAAAACACAAACTTACAGCATAAAAGACACAAAATGCATAACAAAAACAAGAACAAAAACAAAGCAAACCCCCCCCCCCCAATTCCACATCACATTTTAAAAGGGCAAACTATGATGGACTATGCTGAAATGGCAAAGCTGACTGGGAAACCAAGAAGAGGACAAAAACTTTACAAAAGAATGGGGGAAATTTATAAGCTACTTAAGAGACCACTGTAAGCAGATGGAAATGCTGGCAGGATTTTGATTTCGCTTATAGTGCAACAAATTGCCACGGAAAATACGGATTGATGTAATAGAGTATGGAAGAAGGTGGAGTTTTAAATGTTTAAAACGGGACTCCAGGGAGCGGGTTGGGGGTGGGGGAAGTCCTGAGATTCGGAGGAATCTCTGTACAGTGGTACCTCGGGTTACAGACGCTTCAGGTTACATACGCTTCAGGCTACAGCCTCCGCTAACCCAGAAATATTGCCTCAGGTTAAGAACTTTGCTTCAGGATAAGAACAGAAATCGTGCTCCAGCGGCACGGCAGCAGCGGGAGGCCCCATTAGCTAAAGTGGTGCTTCAGGTTAAGAACAGTTTCAGGTTAAGAACGGTCCTCCGGAACAAATTAAGTACTTAACCCGACGTACCACTGTATATGGGTATGTATTTGAATTTTTTAAAAATATAAACTTTGTAAAAATGATTTCAAATAAAGATAAAAGGGCATCGGATGTCAACCAGCCCAAGGCCTGGAATGTTTTAAATTTGTTGTTAGCCACCCAGAGCCTGGTTTTGAACCGGGAAGGGCGGGGTATTAATAATAATAATAATTATTATTATTATTATTATTATTATTGCCTAAAGGTGTATAATGAAGGTGCCAGCCGAACCTCCTTGGGGAGACCATCCCATAAACAGGACAGTGGCAAGGAAGTTTTTTTCCCATCCAGACCGCTTCATTCCTTTCAGGAGCCACAAAAACAAAGGTGGCTCAAGCGATACCCATCCTACGGTCGGCAGAAAAGTCGAAGGGGCTTCCAGGTAGCGGTTTAACGGTCAACCCCTCTTCCCAGGGAACTCTGGGAATTGTAGTTCAGTGAGGGAGATAAGGCTCTCTCTCCCAGAAACACCCAGCACCTTCAACAAGAGATCTTGGCTTTTCAGGGGAGGGAGGAGCGGGACCATAAACCGTTTCCGGGACAGAAATTGCGCATCACATAAACAGAGCACGAAGAGCTTAAATTCACCGATCCAAGCCCCCTAGCCGTCCACCAATACTTTGCAGATGAAGCAAAACCCCCCCAAAAACAGCTCACATTTTTCCTCAAAGAAAAGATGGGATGCACAGGTGGAAAAGGTGCTTGCAGGATATATAGCCAAACAATAAGATCAGATAAGGCAATACAGTGGAGCCTTGGTTCTTAAACTCTGAAAACCTGGAAGTAAGTGTTCTGGTTCTCGAACGTTTTTCGGAAGCCGAACATCCAATGCGGCTGTCGGCCATTGTTTCCAGGGCGCCTGCACCAATCAGAAGCCACGCCTTGGTTTTTGAACATTTCGGAAGTCAAACAGACTTCTGGAATGGATAAAGTTTGGCACTTTTGTTTTTGCTATTTATTTTGCGTTTTTGTTTTTGAGGCTTTTTCAATTAATTTGTTTTTGTGGCTGTGTGGAACCCAGTTCCGCTACCGACTGATTGATTGTGTGACTGCAGAAATGGATAAAAGCACCCCAGCCAAACAATGACTATCATCAGTGCAGGTAAGGAAAAAAATATAATTTTAATTTTTATCATCTAATACTGTCTTATTTGTTTTATAGTACAGTGCATTGATTCTTGCTTTCATTTTATGGATCCATGGTCTCGTTAGAGAGTAAAATTCATGTGAAATTGCTGTTTTAGGGGTTGTTTTTAAAGGTCTGGAACAAATTAATCCATTTTGCATTACTTTCTATGGGAAAGCACGCCTTGGTTTTGGAACGCTTTGGTTTTGGAACGGACTTCCGGACGGATTAAGTTTGAGAAAGAAGGTACCACTGTATAATATGTACTCCCCACTTTCTCTCTCTTTCTCTCAGACACACACACACACATCTGCTACTCAGAAGGAAGGGGAAACTACACATAGATGGATCCCCTCCAACAACTGTCGCAACAGGCAGTTGTGTGTGTGTGGCAACACAACGGCAGTGTGGAAACCAGGAAGTGTGCTAATCAGAGGCTGAGGGGACACACAAATGGTGTTGGGAACAGAAAAGAAGAGAGCTTATGATGAGGCCTCGAGGCAAGCGATTTCCACCAAGGGCATTTGGGTGTTTTTTCACACGCCTGCAAGCATTGGTCGCCACGCAGAAAAGTCATGCCTTAAGCAGGCCCAATGAGCCAAGGCAGGAACCGCAACTGTGCTTGCCACATTTCAGAAAGCGAAAATCCAGACGCAAAAGCCTTTTTTGTCTTTCCCTTGCCCAAAGCTGTAGAGCTTTTCTTGCAAAATCTCCAACAAAATCCAAGTTTTAAAGGAATTTTTTAAGGAAAATTGTTTGATGTGGGCTGCCGTACACCTGGGTTTCTCCAGACATTAAAACCGATTTTTGAAAATTCTGCTCAGATGCCATTCTTGACGGACGAATCCTGGCTATGTCCAGGAAATTCCGGACATATTGCAGCCCTGGCCAAAGAAGGTGATGCTAGCAGGCCAAGCTGGGAACGGCCCTCCTGTTGGGCAAATGGGATACTTCCCCAAGCACTAGCTAAACCAATGGCATCAAGAGCTGCTTGTTATTATATTACGAGAAACGTATGCCTAGTTTCATTGCCTAATTTCCATTCAGCCCCCATCTTCCATCTCACCCTCAAGGGCCGGAAGGGAGTCCTATCCACCAAGCAGCTGAATGACCACTGATAATGTTGGACCAGCAAAGAACAAGAAGAGTTTGGATTTGATATCCCGCTTTATCACTACCCGAAGGAGTCTCAAAGCGGCTAACATTCTCCTTTCCCTTCCTCCCCCACAACAAACACACTGTGAGGTGAGTGGGGCTGAGAGACTTCAGAGAAGTGTGACTAGCCCAAGGTCACCCAGCAGCTGCATGTGGAGGAGCGGGGAAGCAAACCTGGTTCACCAGATTACGAGTCTACCACTCTTAACCACTACACCACACTGGCTCTACTACACTACTGCTACTACTACACTGGCTCTACCACACTAGCAAAGCGCAAGATGCATTCTGCTTACCTCCTCGGTTCCATCGAATGCACGGTGATGATCTTCTCAAAATTTGCGACGAACGCTTCCAGCCACTGCTGCAGGTACGCCAAGTCCTTCTGGAAGAAGAAAGGAAGGAGAAGAAGCGATTAGAAAGTACAATCCCCTTCTATCACAGGGCCAAAATATCCCAGGAGGCAAGCCCTCACTGGGCTAATGTCAAAGCTCGTTCAGTTAGGAGGACATTGATTATTCGTAGCTGAAGATCCGAAGTTATAGGGCAGGGTAGGCAACCGACAGCATCTTAAAAAGCAGAGACATCACCTTGCCAACAAAGGCCCGTATAGTTCAAGCTCTGGTTTTTCCAGCAGTGATGTATGGAAGTGAGAGCTGGACCATAAAGAAGGTTGATCGCCGAAGAATTGATGAGATTTAGGACGAGATTTAGGGCAAATATTTTTGGCTCTAGTTTTTTTCAGCATGCGTCGATTCTTTGCAGAGAAAGTGGTTAAAATGTATAAGACGGGATAAAAATCTTGTTGGAGATGTAAAGAGAAAGATGGTACGTTTTATCATATGTGGTGGGAATGCAAAAAGGTCAGAAATTATTGGGAAATGATATATAATGAATTGAAAAAAATGTTCAAAAATACTTATGTTAAGAAACCAGAAGCATTCCTCCTAGGGATTTTAGATCAAGAAATAAGAAAAGACAACTGGAAATTATTTGTGTATGCAACAACAGCGGCAAGAATTCTGCTAGCACAAGCTTGGAAGACAGAAGGAACCCTGACGAAAGGACAGTGGCAAGACAAACTCATGGAATATGCAGAATTAGCAAAATTAACAGATAAATTACATGAAAGGGACTTAAACCAAAACTTTAAAAGAGAATGGGAACCATATATGAAGAGACAACATGAAAAGTTGGACTCATTGGCAGGGTTTGAGTAAATATTCACAAATGTATACAATAAAAAATGGATGTAAAGGTATTAGGAATTAATTGGGGAAATAATACGCAGGATGAATAAATTGAAAGTAAAACAAAGTGGAAGCATGAGGGAAGCAGGAAAAAACGGAAGATATTTCATAAAGGATGTATATATTGAAAAACCAATAAAAGCTATTTAAAACAAAGAACAAAACAAAAAGACGTATTCGTTTAAAATTGCTCCCCACCCAGTCGTTCATCACCACAATGAGCCAAATCTGATGAGTTGCACTGATCAGCACACACACGAGTTTACTAATGTCTCGGAACATCAGTCAAATATTATGCCATGACATCACCCAGTTTACTATGTGATCTCTGACTCAGTGGGATCTCGCCCGTACGGTTAAATTCAGGAAGGAGGAGGCGGTGGCAGAGGCAGCACACAGGGCAAACAATTGCACCAAACCATATATAAGGAGAATTTTAATTGTTGCATTTTCGCACCACCCTTCCTCCCAAAGGGAGCCGAGGAAGCGTAAACACAATCCAGAGTAACAAAATAAAACGTTTACACACTCGTATATTTTTTTAAAAGTGCAATAAAGCAATGATACGTCCCGGGAAGCGAGAGATAAAAGGAATAATTGCACAATTCTTTTTAGAAAGGGTCCGCTAAATAGTAGGTTGGATTGGGAAACTGAAGCTTCTGAATACAGTCATATCTCGGGTTGCAAATGTGATCCGTGCGCATAGCTGTAAACCATCCCTTTTTTGGCAGGAAATTCCCTTATTCAAAGCACCATTTCCCGCTGCTATCCCGTATCGTTAGATATCCCGTAGACTGTCCCCAGGACAGGTGAGGCTACTGATCCCTTATTTTCAAATCTGAAAGTTGACAGCTATGTCTGTGCGGGAGGCACATTTGCAACCCACAGCGTTTGCAGCCTGAAGCGCCACGTTTGCGCATGCACGTGACACGCGTTTGCGCATGTGCGTGATGTCAGTTTGTGTTTCTGTGCATGCATGAGCGCTAAAACCTGGAAGTACAGTTGTACCTCTAGTTGAGAACGGGATCCGTTCCGGAACGCAACCTGCGCATGCGCGTGACGTTATTTTGCGCGTCTGAGCATGCGCGAGCAGAGAAACCCGGAAGTAACCCTTTCCGGTACTTCCAGGTTGCCGCAGGACGGAAAAGATGTAACCCACAGTATTCGCAACCCGAGGTATGACTGTAACCTGTTCCAGTACTTCTAGGTTCGGCGTGGTCCGCAACCCGAAAACGCACAACTTGAAGCGTTCGTAAGCCGAGGTATGACTGTAGTCAGCGTCAGTGCTATTTTTTCTAGAAAAAGAGGTGCCAGAACTCACAGTGGCAATGGTGCCCACCTGAGAGGGGCCAGAACTGAGTTCTGGTGAGTTCCGACAGCAAAAAACCCCAACTCTAACCAGTATAGTTTTTGAATTATGGTGCTGGAGGAGACTCTTGAGAGTCCCATGGACTGCAAGAAGATCAAACCTCTCCATTCTGAAGGAAATCAGCCATGAGTGCTCACTGGAAGGACAGATCCTGAAGTTGAGGCTCCAAAACTTTGGCCACCTCATGAGAAGAGAAGACTCCCTGGAAAAGACCCTGATGTTGGGAAAGATGGAGGGCACAAGGAGAAGGGGACGCAGAGGACAAGATGGTGGGACAGTGTTCTCGAAGCTACCAGCATGAGTCTGACCAAACTGCGGGAGGCAGTGGAAGACAGGAGTGCCTGGCGTGCTCTGGTCCAGGGGGTCACGAAGAGTTGGACACGACTAAACGACTAAACAACAACAACAAAAACCAGTATAGTGACAACACTTGACTCCATCACCCCTTCCGATCACTCATTCATAGGAAGACCTGCAGAAGTCCTGAACTGATGCTTGGAGCTGATGATGTGGGCAAGGATGTCAAAACCAAGAGGACCGAGCACTTCCGGAGGCGGCGCGAAACGGCAATGGCGGACCTCTTCTAGTCTGGGAGAGGAAGCTCCGCGGAAACGGGTCGTCCGCTACGGCAAAGCGGAGGCCCACTTAGGAAAACCACAGGCGGCGGTAGCCTGTGGTCTTGGGACCCGGCGGGCACCAGGAGCGCCCCCAAAATCGTGGAAGGGACCCCGTAAGGGGCTTCGGAAACGAGGACGGGAGCGCGGTGCTGTGGGTTGATCGGCATTCCAGCGGAGCGAAGCCGCACAGCTGCTGTCGATGAGCCCTCCATCTTTCCCAACATCTTTGTGCCCTCCATCTTTCCCAACATCTTTCCCAACGTTTCAGGTTACAGACTCCGCTAACCCAGAAATAGTGCTTCAGGTGAAGAACTTTACTTCAGGATGAGAACAGAAATCATGCTCCAGTGGCGCGGCAGCAGCGGGAGGCCCCATTAGCTAAAGTGGTGTTTCAGGTTAAGAACAGTTTCAGGTTAAGTACGGACCTCCAGAACGAATTAAGTACTTAACCCGAGGTACCACTGTATAGGGTGCCAAACTGTATAGGGTGCCAAAAACAATACAGTGGTACCTCGGGTTACATACACTTCAGGTTACAGACTCTGCTAACCCAGAAGTAGTACCTCGGGTTAAGAACTTTGCTTCAGGATGAGAACAGAAATCACGCGGCAGCGGCGGGAGGCCCCATTAGTTAAAGTGGTACCTCAGGTTAAGAACAGTTTCAGGTTAAGAATGGACCTCCAGAACGAATTAAGTACTTAACCTGAGGTGCCACTGTATTGCGATGTTTAGTAGGTGATGTATCATGATGCTGAAAACCAGGTATCGCCCAGCCCTACTGTGTTGTTTGGGGTTTGCATTCTCTCTAGGGACAGCTGTTATTCATAGCATGGGGTGCTATTGGACCTGCCTTGCACCTAGACACTGATGTGACCCAGCCAATAAGTGCATTTTATCAGCTCAGGGCTGGTTTGCAAGCTCCACCCTTTCCTGCCGACGAATGACCTAGCCGCTGTGAGTCACAACCTAATCGCATCCAGATTAGACGACAGCAACACGTTCTACGTGGGACTGCTTTTTAAAAGGTGTCCGGAAACTTCGACTGCCATGAAGTGGCTCTTTGCTCCACCCAAGCCAACGTTCTTCCGCAAGAATCCCAACAGCGTCAAAGCGGTTCACCGGAAATTTGTGGGGCTCCTCCGCTGAAGAACCACAGACTACATTCTGCCTGCTCTTGTCTGCGATGATATATTTATTCTCAGGAACAGAAGATTAACTTAGGGCACGAAGACAGGGGCAGGGACCTGAATGACGAAGGGGCTGGACCAAATCCTGGATGAAATTTTAAAATGCTTGGAGGTTTTTAGCTCAGGGGGGAAAGACAAGCACAGTGGTACCTTGGTTCTCAAACTTAATCCGTTCCGGAAGTCCGTTCCAAAACCAAAGCGTTCCAAAACCAAGGCGTACTTTCCCACAGAAAGTAATGCAAAAAGGGTTATTCTGTTCCAGACTTTTAAAAACAACCCCTAAAACTGCAATTTGACATGGATTGTACTATCTAATGAGACCACTGACCCATAAAATGAAAGCAATAAACAATGTACTGCAGTCACACAATCAATCCACCAGTAGCTGAACTGGGCTCCACACAGTCACAAGAACAAAACAAAAAGAGCGGTAAAAACCAAAAACGCAAAATAAATAGCAAAAATAGACAGACCTCAGCGTAACACTCCAATCGGAAGCGTGGCACTCAAAACGGAAGCGTAACACTCAAAATGGAGCACGTTCGGCCTCTGAAAATACTTCGCAAACCGGAACACTTACTTCCGGGTTTGCAGTGTTTGGGTTCCAAGTTGTTTGAGTACCAAGGCATTTGAGAACCAAGGTGCCACTGTGCAGTAAAGCGGACCAGAGGCTTATAAAATTTTGCACAAATTGGAAAAAGTCTGGGGGTCATCTAATGAAGCAGAATGACAAAAGGAAAGACCTATTCGCACAGCACATTCGATCACATTCTGGCAAATTCTGGTTGCACAATTAAAGTTGATTGCGCAAGAAACCCACTTCCCCAGAATATCTGGTTTTCTTTTGGGATATGGAAAGTGATGGGAAGACCATACAAAGTGTGGGATAACACTTGCTTTGATGCAACCTTGACTAGCCTCCCCGCAAACAAATCAGAATGAATAAGCAACATCATCTCATT